CTGAATACCCTACTGTATGTGTCTAGAGTTTATATTGTTTTATTTGAGTTTATATTGCATAATAAAATGATAGCAGAAAAATGCTATATTCAAACAGTATGTTTACTGATCACACGACTATAACAAACTAGATGCATTTCTATTACAATTAGGAAGGAATAAAGTTTGTGAACTTATATTGAAAACAGAAGTGTGTAAACCAGACCGTTTTTGTTGAAAATTCCAGAGGCTTTGGTTATGGAGTTTTTATATCTCTAGGATAATTATATCCTTTCGTGATTGTTCATTCTGTGTCTTATATTCCTCTTGCAACAAATGCTGCTAGTATTAGGGTTAAACACATTGTTATGATAATACAGTCTTTATCTTTGAATTCAATTAACACATTTTAATGGAATTTAATAAAAATTTCAAAGTTTTTTAAATATGAAAAATTTTTGTGAACTACTCATTTGGATACAATTTTTTAAATTTGTTAAATCTCTTTAAGTATCAGGTTTCTTTAAAGGCACAGATAATAAAATGGAATGTAGAATATTTCTTTTCAGAATGCCTTAATTTTACTAAATGGACTCTTGGCTGTGACAGCTTAATAAATTTTTCTTGATTCATTCTGTTCTTCCATTTTGTTTTTTCAGACATTTCACCAAAAATTCCCCTAAAATTACATTCCTATTAAAGTCTACACAAATTAACAATGAAAGGAATTGCATGTAATTTTATTTTATGACATCTGTGTCCTCATTTTTAAGAATATGATTAGTAACTCATATCTGTTCTTTTACTATTTGCATTAACATCCAATAAATTCAATAAAATCCGCAAAAATTATTAGCCCATTTTGAGATCTTTAAATCTTAAGAGCACACTAAACACACTTTAAATTTAGCTGCATGTCATAAAAACAATAGTTGTCACTTAAGAATTGAAATTATTAGGGAATTATGGAAATACTAGTGGTATTTTTGATAGAAGTTAAATTACTTAAGCAGTATATAAAAAGTCACTATCAAGAAAGGTGTTGCCAGGCTTTTAATTTATAAGTTGAAACCATCAGTAAGTTGTTTTAAAGGAACAGTGCATTTGTTTATTACTAGGAAGAGAACTAAGTAAAAATTAATGTAACAGTGACTTTTGTTTATAGTAAATTGATTTTGTCTTTTTTCTGCATTCTTAAATTTCTGTGTAACTACACATATGGGCCTTTAATTGTTTCATGTTTTCCCAAATTCATGTGTAAATGGAAGGTTAATTGTAATATAGTGTCTTTTGAGTGCTTTTTTCTTCAGTAGGTGTCTCAGGTTGCCACTGTTACAATCTCAAATACTTTGTTGAACAGACTACCTGTTCATACAGGAGCTGCATTGTTGTATAGCCTCATTCCTTCCGATGGGTGTGGAGCAGGATTAAAGTACACTTTATAGGGGTTCTAATTGTAGATGCCTAATTGACTCGATGAATAATAGCAAATGCTAAAATTTAAACACACACACACACACACACACACACATAAACCCGTTTCAGGGCTGATCTGCGTGACAGAACAAAGGCCTCACAGGTGTTGAATACTTACAAGATAAAAGAGTAGTCTTTCCATATTTCCTAAGAATTTTCTTTTGAAGTTTATATGGATTTTCTCTCTCATTGTTTCTTTTCTTAAAATGGTTCACAGAAAGAATGTATTTCAATCTTTGGTTGCACTTTTCACTTATAAAGGAAGACCAGAGTTTTATATATCTGCAATAATTAAAAAAAAAAAATCTGTCAAGTAAGTTTTCACACACTTTGGAAAGGGAAGAGGAGAGGGGAAAAAACTGCTGACTTGAGCCTTCAACCTGATAGGGGTCATAAGCTCTTAATTCTTTTTTTTTTTTTTTCAATTTTTTTTCCTGAAGATTTATTTATTTTTATACAAGAACTGGGGTACAGGCCAGATGTGCAGAAGGGTGAGAGGATTCACCAGAGACAGAGCAGGTGAGGGAGCAGCGGACGAGACAGGAGGGGTCTGCCTCGCCATGTGGGACCCTTGCCAGCAGGCAGGGATTGAACCGGCGCTGCAGAGGCTGCGGACATCTTCACAGCGCTGCGCTCAACCGCCTGTGCCACTGGGGGAGGCCCTCTTTTCTTAATTCTTTAAAAATGTTTTGATGCTTTGAGTACTTTAAAGGTCTCATGAGTTTGTAAATATTACCTGAAAAAGAAGTAAACTTCTTATACTAGGAACATAACAGGTGGAAGGATTTTTTAAAATCAAAAGATTGTACCAGTTTTCATCCTTAATATTTAAAGGTTTCCCTCATTTGATATGCTTTAGATTTTAACTTTTTCAATTCTCTTAAGGCAAATATATTTTCATAAATTCTTTTAGTTTTTTCTTTTGAACTAATTGTAGATTCACTTGTACTTTTAGGAAGTAATATGAAGAGGTGGTATTCTCTTTATCCAGTTTCCCCCAATTGTAGCATCTTGTATAACCAGTATTACAGCCAAGAAATTGGCATACAGTTTACCAATTTCATATTCTACCAGTTTTAGATGCATTCACATGTGTGTAACATACACTCACATGTGCATGTTTGTAGGTAGCTTTGCAATTTATATAATTCCTTTGACCAGCACCAAGGATCCTTCATGCCACCCTTTTAAGTTCTCAGTCACCTACCTCCTGCCCAAACTCCTCCAACTTCTGGCCACCCATAATCTGTTCTCCCCTCATCTCTATAATTTTGTCATTTCAAGAGTGTTATATAAGTGGAATCCTATAAGCCATAGCCTTTGGGATTGACTTTTTTTTAACTCAGCATAATTCCCTTGTGATCCAGCCAAGTTGTTGCTTGTATCAAGTTAATTATTTTTTATTGCTGAGTAGTGTTTGTGGTACAAGGATGCATGCACCATGCTTTGGTTTTTTGCTTTTTAATAGCTTGCTAGTTGAAGTACATCGGGTTGTTTCTAGAATTTAATTATTACGTGTGAAGCTGCTCTGAACATTTGATTACAAGTTTATTTTTTTTTAAGATTTATTTATTTTTGCATACAAGAATTGGGGTAGAGGTCAGGGGTATGAGGGGGGGGGGATGAAAGGATTCACCAGAGACAGAGTGGGGAACAGAACAGGCAGAATGACCAAAGTACACTGCTGAGGGGAGCAGCAGGTGAGTCAGGAAAGGTCTGCTGCGCCGTGTGGTTGCTGCCTGCCTGGCCAGGGATTCAAACTCATGCTGCAGAGGCTGCGGACAGCCTCATAGGTTGCATCTTAACCCCTTGTGCCACCAGGAAGGCCCTACAAGTTTATTCTTAACACTTTTTTATTTTACATTATATTCATTCAAATTATAGGCCATGTAATGAGAATAAAATGTATCATGCTAGTTGGACAGTTCCTGGATGTGAAATTTGGGGTATAGGGCAAAAGTGTAACATAAAAAATACTTTATTTTTCTCATAATTTCTAGATTTCTTGACATTAAATCATTAGCACTTGGGGCAATAAGAGGAGTTGACTTCCCCACCAGTATCCCTGTGATCTCATCCTGAGTTAGCACCATGAAGTGGAGAGAAGAAATGAATAGATTGTTTTTATGCTGTTTCAAAGATTATCCAATTAAGGAAAAATCATGTTCTTTGAAACAACAAATTTATTAATGTATCTATATACATTATATGAAAACCTTTTCTAAGTATATAATTAGATAAACTACAAAAGATAAATAGTAACTCTTTGATTTTTTTCAGAAATCAGCCAGCTAATACCCATTTATTGGGGACTGTTGTAAATAAAAGAAATTCTTGAGTAGGTAGAGAGCTTCTAAACTTTCTGGCCATTATTTTAAAAGAGTGAATTGTCCACAATTGGAAACATTGACGTATCCACAATTGGATTGATTTTAATCAGAAAAAGTAAACACGAAAACTCCCTTTCCCCCTTTATGATGATCATATTGTCCAAAATAGGATAGAGATAAGACAGCGACAACAAAGCAGTTTGGTGGTGTTAAATAGACTTAATGTTTTAACTAATGATTTTAACAGCTGTACATTATTCCTTCAATTGGTTCTTACCATAATTTAAACATTTGCCTCTTTTAAGCATTTTATACTGCTATAAATGGTTTACTTCTTTTTGACATGAGTTTCTCTATAGTGTGGATTCTGTTCTTAGATTAGAATCCAGAAAGTGAAATATGATTGAAAAAGTCCTATTACGTATTGCTAATTTGCTTTCTAAAAGAATTTACCAATTTATATCATCTCCAGCAAACTAGGGGAATATAGTTTTTATAACGCTTTATCAACATTGGCTGTTACATTTTTGTAAGTTGTTTTCACTTGGATTTATATTTTGTTGTTAGTGATAGATATATTTTCGTGTTTGTTTCATGACTTTTTTTCTCCTTTTGCTAATTATTATTTCTGAAAATTAGAAATGTCAATTTTGTCCATATTCTTCCTTGAAGTTTCAGTGCCCACCAACCTGCTTTCTTCACATTAACTGCCTGAGTCTCATAAGCAAGTGTTGTCTCTTATGCTTTCTATCGGAATCAATTAAAATTGCAGTTACGTCTAAGAAGATATCTTGACATTAAAAACACTATAGTACCCGTTGTTAAGTACTTTTCTCTAAGCAATTTTGCTCCTAGTCCAGGACTTCCTGCCACAATCTGTTTTAATCCTAGAAGACTTGAGCCTACATAAGCACTATTGCTATTAGCAAATACATAGGCTATGTCAGAACATAGACTTTCATTTATAGTGCACCTCTAATTATATGCTTGCCCCTGCTATTAGAAAGGAAGTAACTCACTTTAGGGGAAGAAAATTTTATTCTACTTGGCTGTCGTATAAAAGACTAAAAGTAATAATATTGCGGATAGATTTTTGTGACCTTAGGGTACAAATAAGGGAAATGCACACTCCTCAAATTAATGGGACCCAGCTCATTCAGAAATGGTAAAATCTATAAATAAAATACTGTGATTTTTTTTCTTTTTGTTTTTCAGGTTTACAAGTAAAAGTAACCAAACTGAAAAAAGAACGAATTTTGTAAGTATCAGTATATATCATTAATGTCTTACTTACAAGGTAATTGATACTGAGGTCCTACTTGACCTCAACAGTTATTCATAAAGAAATTAACTCTCCGTAGTATGGATTTTGGACAGTTGACAGTGAGTTCTTCAAAATTTAAAGTTAAAGGAATAATATGGCCTTAGTAAATATTTACATATATTTTTATTCTAGTGTATTTACATGTATTATGAGTATATATTAAAGTACATACAATATATAATCTATATATGATATATTACTAATGTCTTAATATTATATTTTCACATAGTACTTAAGGTGATCTGTAAACCTATTTTGATACATCAGTGACAATCTTTTCTCAATATAAGTAACATCTGGAATTTGAGATACTACAAGATATGGAGAAGAATAATTCTGAGATTTCTAAACTCATAAGAAAACTAAGTGGATATTCTGAGACCCCTTTTCATTAAGTTGAAATTATCGATGTTCTATTGATTTGTTTTGACTATTAAGAGCAGGCTTAGATCTGATTTTTTTAAGTCAGGAGCAGATTTTACTTAATGATTCTCCAGAACTTCCACATTCATAAATCTGAAGCAAATGGCATAGTAGAATGTTATTACTCATAATAAAAAATTATTATGACCAATAATATATTTGCTTGGCAGTATAGACCAATGGACCTCAGTTATTTCATATTCCTAAAATGACTAAGTCTGTAAGCAATAGCTAGTTTTCTCAGCCACCTAATAGTCTCAAAAGCAAATACTTTATCTGAGCTGAAAATTGTGGAGTTTTTATTTATATGTAGAAAGTCATGTTTGGAAGGTGACTTAGATTTAGACATATAAAATCATGAAAATTTTAAACTTTCATAATTTTTCTTACTGAATAACACTTAAGCTTTGTATGGTTGAAAGTACACTTGTTTCTACCTTGAGGATGCCACTTTCAGCATCCTTAATCATGAAATATTCCATTTCTCTGTTTTCTGTAGTAGAACTATGTTTAGTTCCCACAATTGAGAGTTAATTTTCTACCCTACAGAGAAATCAGTTAAGCCTTTTTTAAGTAGTAAATATAGGATGCATATCTTACTAGGATATTTTTTTAACTGTGGAGGAAAAAATTTAAAAAACCAGAAATGACTGCCCCAAATCACTTCTCTCATATGGAAGTATTCTTTCACATAGAAAACCCTTAATAGGGAGATTCTAAGCCTGGTTATTCAATGACTCAAAATAATCAAAGGTTCAGGTTATCCCTTTCTTTCTGTTGTGCCATCTTTAGTGTTCTGGTTTTCCCTGTTAGTCTTGACTCACTGCAAAATGGCAGGATGGCCATCATTCTAGTTATCAGTTACATCTTGTATCCCTTTTTACAAATTGCAAAAGTTTTCCAGCCCCAGTACACTTCCTCTAATTAATTTGTGTGCTCATTCCTAAATAATACTAGTAAAGAGAATTGAATTAACACAACTGACTTAGACTAATAATGATTCTGACTCTATATTTTAGTGTATTCTAGGATTGAGAAACTATGTTGTTGAATAAGAGATCCAGGTTACTGTCAATCTGGATAAAGGAATTACAAATTTTAAAAAAATAAAAGGAGAGGGATAGGGATAGAATGAGCCCCATGCTGTTCTGTAGTAATTGGGGTTATTATGATCTCATGGTTTTTATAGATGCAGATCATGTTCATGTGTTTGAGGACACACATGTACTTCCTAGGGTTGGTCCACTAAGAGGGCCTACAAGCAGTGGCTCCCAACAGTAATATACATTCCTGAAGCCCAGATCTTGATTTTAAAGACTACTTTCCAGTAAAAGAAATCAAAGTTCTTTGGAAAACGGGCTGACTCCAGGACTTGGGGGCATGCAAAGTACAAGTTGAGTTGGAACAACTTGTCATACCAGAAAATAAGAAAGAACATGCTCAGAAGCAATGGAAACATGTCAAATAAAAGTACAAAAGAAAACTGCTTGAAAAGCTTCTCTAGTTGCAAAATCTAGGACAACCTGAACAATGAAATAATAGTGAATTACTGTACACATAGAATAAATGGACAGCATTTCCTTAGTAAAATTCCAGTTATTAAATACATTAATTACTAAAAATGTTAGAAAATCACCATTTGGCAAACATCACAGCAGTAACTGTTGAAGGCAAGAATCACCAGCGGAAGCTAAAATTTTTGAAAGTATGACGAAAAACAATAATTACAAATTTCTCAAATTGGGCCCCCCTGGTGGCAAAAGGGGTTAAGCACAGCACTATTTGAAGCTATCCGCAGCCTCTGCAGCATGAGTTTGATTCCTGGCCGGCCAAGGAGCTACCCAAATAGCACAGCAGACTGACTCACCCGGTGTTCCCCTCAGCAGTGTATTTCAGTAGATCTGCCTGTTCTACTCCCCACTCTGCCTTTGGTGAATCCTCTCACCCCCCCGCATATCTGGCCTACACCCCAGTTCTTGTATGCATAAATAATTCTTGAAAAAAAAAATAGGCTACACTAACAAGAGCACAAAAAATACTTCTGCCATATTCTTACCCTTAATCCATTGCCAGAGTTTAATCATGGGGGAGCATCAAACAAACTCAAATTGAGGGGCAGTAAACCAAGTAACTTGCTAGTACTTTGAAAGGTGTCAAGGTTATCAGAGACAAAAATACACTGTCCAAGATTAGAGGAAACAGGAAACATGACATTAAAGGCAATGTATGATTCTTGTGATTCTGGATTGGATCATAGACCAGAAAAAAAAAAATGTATTGGAGGAACAATTGGTGAAATTTGAGTAAAATCTACAGATTAGTTAACAGTATTCTATCAGTGTTGATTTCTTGATTTTGATTATGTTAATTTGTTATGGTAATGCAAGCTGCTAAACTTTTGAGAAGCTGGGTGATAGTTCTATGGCAGCCTTTGTTTTATGTTTAAACTTAGTTCTAAATCTAAAATTATTTTAAGACAGAACATTAAAAACAATGAAAAAATATATGAGTCATCCCGAGTTTGTGAAGAACGTTACCACCTTTTCTCCAGACGACTGCTGAATGCTGATGAAAATCAGTATTTTTTAAGCAAGGAATAAGAAGGAAATGGTTATTGGTAAGCACCTAAAATATCCCTAGACGAGTCCTACTTCTCTGACTCAGGAGTTTCCAGTGTAGCTCCTGTGGCATGATTTCCTTCCATGTCACGAAGTTTCTTTTGTTTTTGTGGGCAGCAGGGATTAAAAGACTTCCCATCCTTTTAATACACTAAGTAATAAAGATGGCATTACCTTATAGATATAGACAGACAGATAGATAGACAGACAGACACACACACACACACACACACACACACACAGCTGTATGTTTTTCAGAATTGTCTGAATGGTTACAGAAGAAGACTTTTTATACACAAATTCTCTTGAAATAAAAAATTATTTCAGGTCTTGCTTCTGCAACACATATACTAAAAAAAAGTCCAAAACCAAATATAATGAAATTGCATTAGTTGTATGAGGAAAACAGGATCATTTTCTTCCCTAATAAATAAACTTGTCTTTTCCTGCCCATTTGAAATCAAAAAGGGGAAGTATTTTTGTTGTACTTAGGAACAAATAGGCTTTAAAACCTCAGTGGTAAAAAATTTTGATTCATTTGAAATTTAAAATTGTGAAATTCGCTTATTTTCATCTTTATTTTTGGTGATAGCCCAGCTAGTGATGGTTGCTACAAGCATTGTTAACCAGGAATGAATACTGTCTGTGGCTTGGTATGGTAATCTAACACATACCATGCTAAAGAGCTATTGCTGCTTATTGAGTTATTTTATTAGTCTCCCCTCTTATCTCTAATAACACCATGTAGGAGTTCTTGTTCCCACTGACCTTTTCTGATATGAAAAAGTATAATGTTTCAGAGCACATTAGTAGTTAGACAATGAAGTCTTTATATTGTGCCTTTGTTCAATGTTGAAGTTAATGATTTTGTGAATGCTGTATTTGCAAGCATTGATTAGAATGCATCTGTTAGCTTCAAAATGTTAGTCATTTTCAGGAAACAATACTAAAACCTAGAAAGCATTGTGTTTGTTATGTGATTATATATTTTAAACTGTGTTCACTAAATTTTTTAAATGAATTTAGTTTTTTTAAAATGAATCCTTCATGTAGGCCTAGAAATTTTGTTTCTAAACTATAACTATTTTAAATGATCAATTTATAGCTGTAAAATAGTATTTTCTCTTAACTTCAATCAGAATCATCATGCTGTGGATTGAATAAGACTGAATTAGAAATGATCTAGATTTCCTTATGACAAATGCCTTTTTAATAACAGACTTTTTTTCATCCAAAATGTGTTAACTCCACACCTAAAGTCAAAAATCTCCTGTAACATTCCTGAATATTAAAGAATGGAAATAGAGATGGTTTTTCAGTAACTGATAATACCTCCCTTTCCATGTATCATGTACCACTTCACAGAATCATTTGATTCTCCCAACACCTTTTTAATGTATATTGTAATTATTCTGTATGTGTGTGTGTCAGGTAGCTTGTGGTTATACATTTTGGAAGTACTGGCAGGTAACTGAATACCCTGAGCAATCAGAGAATTAATTGGAATGTTAAATTTATATTGTTAGGTCTTTGCATTTTGGGACCAGAACTTTGCTTGTCAATCCAAGCAAACTTAAGTTTGCCTGTGTTACTATAATCCCCTTTATCTAGGGTATATTTATAATATTCCGTTAGAGTGCAGTAACAGTCAGCATGTAAATTAACTTACTGTTAGAATAGCTATATTTGTAAGATAGCTCAGTCCTTAAGGATTCCCATTTGGAAGAAGCAGTTAGAAAAGGAAGTAATAACTATCCTATCTTTGTCTATCACTTAATTGTTTCAAACCTGTGTTTTTATTTTGTTTTTTTAAGATTTATTTATTTATGCGTAAAAGAGCTGGGGTATAGGCCAGAGATGTGGGGGTTGAGAGGATTCACCAGAGACAGAGTGGGGAACAGAATAGGCAGATTGACCCAAGTACACTGCTGAGGGGGGAGCAGTGGGCGAGTCAGGAAAGGTCTGCCACGCCATGTGGGTATCTTCCTGGCCAGCTGGAAATCAAACTCGTGCTGCAGAGGCTGCGGATTGCTTCATATTGTGGTGCTTAACCCCTTGAGCCACCAGGGAGGCCCTCAAACCTGTGTTTTGATGATGGTTGTATCTGCATATGGCTAATGTTTTTCTTTTTACCAATATGTATACATTACTTTCTTATTGATTACCTGTCTTAAGGTCAATTAGTAAATCTATTCATTACTTATTACTATTACTTAAGGAAAAACAGTAACTGATTTATCCTCCACTAAGGAGATATAAAGATGACATTTAATATATTCAGCTTTCCAGCTCCAAGGCATTTACTAAGATAATTTCCATTGAAGCTGCTGAATTTAGAATTAAAAATTCTAAAGTATAAATGACCCACCTACAAATAAACCCTTATTTTTAAATTAAGGAATTTAATTACAAAGAAACAAATGCCTTGCGATTGTTTAGGACTTTCTTCATAGCCTTAATTTCTTATCACAAATAAAGTTTATTTTAGAGTATAAATTGAACATACATTGTTTTCTCCATTTTCTTTATTCATAGTGATTTCTATTTCCCTGTAGTCCCCTTCCACGCTCTCTTACCCCTCCCCCAATATAATACGACATTTATTTTAAAATAATAAGAATGATATGTGTGGTATATGGGAGGTTTTGTTATCTATCTTAGTACAGTTACATTTTCATATACAAGATTTACCCAGTTTTACATGCCAATTACATTTAAAATGCTCATTTACCCCAGAAAGGCAAAAGGCTACCTACTAGGAAAACGACAGAATAGTAAAATGCTGCCTACAGGCTAGGTACACTAAACTTGCTTATATAGGTGAAGTTGGTAAATTGGGATAGTAATAACTAACTTTCTTGGAGGAGGTCCACAGTAGACCATTTTATAATACATTCCTTGCTTATCCTTTTTCAAAATTGCATGTTTTTTTTTAAACTCAACAGTTTGCTTTCTTTTTTATAATTAATATTTTATATAATCCTTACATCATTTTTTCATTTTTGCACAATGTGTGCATTATCATTTTGGTTATATTCCCCATACAATTGCACCCCCCCTTATTTTGACCCTACTCCTTCCTCACCCCTTCCTTCCTCCTCCCCCAACCCCCCATGATCTCACTCATAGCAGGAATTTAGAAAACCTAAATAAGGGACCAGGAAAAAGACTAATTAATACAAAGTAAAAATCAAAATCAACAAGCAACTGTGAACCAGTTTGCTTTCTTAAGGAAATTGTTCATTTATTCCTACATAGAATCCCTTACTTTTATTGCTAAGTTGACATGAATATTTTATTAAGTACTTGAAGTTAGTTTTAACTTTCATGTAGACTATTAGCCTGTTTAGTTTTAAAACAAATATTATTGTGTTCTGAATAATTCTAAACACAGCAGTAATAGAATATATGAATATGGGAAATTTAAATACCATATCACTAATATAAAGTTCACTCTTTTGTTCATAATTTAAGAAAAAATCCTGTGTTATGAACTTTTTATTCCTCAAGTATGTGTGTATATAATTCTTCAATACATATTGTTAAATGTTAAGTGCTAAATTTAAATAGATATTGGCATCTAACAATTTGTTAACTTGGAGGACTTTAATTGTACCCCCTAAACTTAGACATGTTATTAATTATGCTTATAATTGTTGAATATTCCCAAATAGGATTAATAAAAACCTGGTACTATTTCTGAATTAAACACATTTTCCAGAAATATTTGAAAACCTTTAGATGAGAAACAGCTGAATTAAGACATTTCAGCTATTATTTCTAAAATTTCAGGTGTCTATATATATGCCACCAGAACTATAGATATGTTGATTTTTCACTTAATATCAACTATTCAACTGCTATTTAAGAAGCCCCCTCTATTTGTGTATCTGACATTTGACTTAGTTGTTTTACTCATCTATTTTGCTTCTAATGAAATAACGTTCTATATCTTAATCATTTGACATCCATTTATTGTAGCAGACTGGTTTGTCACCCTTGATTGGATATTTTAAGTAGACCCTTGAAGGTTCTGAAGAAAGACATTTGAACCATTACATTATCCTGTATTTTCAAATTCAAGAGCATGCAGAAAATCCCAATTAAATTTCTAGTAGATTTAGAATTAGAATATATGCATGTATTATATAATTAAAAAATATAATTATGGTAAAATGTGTCACAGTCTTGGAAAGTAATCAGATAATGAACTAAAAGAAAATTTTAGATACTATAACTTTTTCCGTACTAAAATCATAATCTCCTATATTTGGAATAGAGATGATATAGAGATATCTGTTATTTGCATTAGTAAATATAGACGAAACAGTAGAAGCCAGTAAATGTACAATTTTATAACAAGTGTAGAGAAATTGAATAATTAGTGGCAACAGAATCCACTCCTTCTGGATTCCAGTATTGTTTAATGAATTGCCTGGTGCTAAGAATAATAATTCTGTAGTGCATAAAAATATTACAGAGCACTAGTTTAATTTGAACTCTGATCAACAGAATATTAAACCTTACTTTTTAAGTTGTTTATTTTGTATAAGAAATTCATACTACAAAAAAAGATAAGACCATACTTTGAAGTTCTTAAAATAGAATTATCCTGTTAGAGTATTTTTACTCCACCCCAAAAACACTTATTTCTTGGTATTTAGAGATGCACAAAGACTAGAAGAATTCTTCACCAAAAATCAGCAACTGAGAGAACAACAGAAAGTCCTTCATGAAACCATTAAGGTTTTAGAAGATCGGTAAGTCTGGTTCCTGGGTCTTCTCGAGTAAGAGGTGATTTTCTCTTTATAGAGAGTACATTGATATTGATTTTAATTTTAATCAGTTCTGGGATTATTTTATTAGTTCGTAACACTGTATATGATGGGAATAGGTTCACACCTTCTCAGATGTGTGTTATATATGTTACTATATCACCCCATTGTTTGGGGATAGAAAGTGATTTTTTTCCCCCAGCTTGCTAGCTTTGGATAAATACTTAATGGCTATTAAGGATACACTCTTAAAAGTTTATTTTTTCATTAATTACAGCAGTCACATCAATTTACCCTTTAAATGTTGTTTCCTTATTTTGTGTTTGCTGTATAAGACAAGTTTAGGGTAACTGTTCTAATTCATTGGATGCTTTAATTCCATGTTTACATCCATGAAAATAAATTAACATTTTTACTTTTAACTACATAGTAACTAAAATTCTATTCTTGTCATATTTTCTTAATCTTACTGTTCATTTTTTCTCACCTGCATGTTTTTTTTTTGTTTGTTTGTTTCCAAACAGCCTGGGGATTCTTCTTTCTGAATATTCCCAAGATGATCCCTATCACTTTACTTCCACATACAGACATTATTCTTTGCTTTCTTATGAGGTTAACAGCCTAGATTAGACAAAGATTCCAGATTTGCCATATTTCCTTGTCTGAACTGTAAGTTCTATTTAGAGCTTTGAACTACCTACAACAATCTTTTCTGCTTTCTCTGTAGTTGATATCTTTCCTTTGTTATTTTGTATATGATACAGAAGGTCTGATGGTTTGAATCTGTCACTGTGCTTTTAGTGGTAGGATAACATTTTATTCTGAATGTATACAAACTTCAGTTGAATACTCTTTTTCTACAACTACCATCTCAGTGTATTTACATTTACTGGATTAGAAGGTCTGTTGTAGAATAAAGGTGCTTTGGAGTCACAGATGTGGATTTGAATTTTAATTGTGTCCTTAATCCAGATTCAACAATAAAGCTTTGAATCATTATTGTATTCTAGCTGTTGCTGTAGGGGTAAGGACAATACTATCCCTATCTAGTATGTCATGGAGCTGATACTTAATTTTCAAAGGTTGGGAGTGAGCCTCTCAAATAAGATGTTTTCAGATTATAAGTACTATGAAGAAAATAGAATGGACTCATATAATAGGGGAATGAAGTGTACTAATGGATGTCAGCCTTTTTGTAAGGTAGAATAAGTTTTGAAATATTTTAGGACTAGAAATTTCTCCATGGTTTTCTGTAATGAGTAAGAGGACAAAGAGCAGAAGGTAAGATTAGAAAGATGGGAAGCAGAGATGTGATTTTTTTTTTTTAAAGATTTATTTATGTGTCCAAGAACTAGGGAACAGGGCAGCAGTGCGGGGGCGGCCGGGTTGAAAAGATTCACCAGAGACAGAGGGGAACAGATCAGGCGGACTGACTGAAGTACACTGCTGAAGGGAGCAGCGGGCGAGACAGGAGAGGTCTGCTGTGCCATATGAGTAGCTCTTTGGCCGGCAGGGGATTGAACTCGTGCTGCAGAGGTTGCAGATAGCTTCATAGTGCTGTGCTTAACCCCTTCCACCACCAGGGAGGCCGGGTGTAGGGACTTTTTTTGTGTCAATGCAGCCCAACCACAGTGATGTTCTCAGCTAGGAATGCCTGTGACCAGACACCACCACCGCCCCAAACCCACCTCTCCACACTCCCCCAGATCATTTCCCTGACCTGAGCCAGTGTTACTGGGCCAGCAAGTAAGTGGTTCTTACTATGATTGCAAGACCCACTCCAGCAACATCCAGGAATGTTGAGCAAAGGGATAGTGAGAGTTTCACAGGAATACTTTTTAATTGATGAATTTAATAACAGTAGTAGGAAATGAATCACAGGAAGGGAACAGCAGGTTCAGTCAAACAGTTATTCAGGCCACCCAGGACTTTCTGAAAGGAGAGCTTCATGTGTGGGGTGTCTGTCTAATTGTGTAGCTGGCAAAGACTGATGGAGAATCCCGGTACTATAGTATCCCTCCTCTGCTCACTCCTTGGCTGGCATGCCTATTTTATTCTGAATACCTGTGTGAGCAGGTGAAGAATTTCAGAGCAAAACGGGAGTCAGTGATTTTGCTCCCCATAGTAGGAGATGATAAGTTACACATTCTCATGACTGTCCTACTCAAGGACTGATTCTATTTATTTCCAGCACCCTTCCTGTTTAATTGGTCATTAGCAAGTTGTGTAGTGTCCAAAGTCAGTGTAGTAGGAAAAAATCACAAGATTAAATTTTCATTATGTTTTGCTTGAATTGGTTAATGCAATCAACTCTCCATTTCACCATTAAGATATGGTATCCTTCATCTTAGTCCTTGAAGACAATCCTTCTGGTGTCTTCAGAAAATGTCTGTGTTTTATGGTTTAAAGTTTTAGCTTTCAGTTCTGTTGTTTTTGCATCTTAACTGAGTTTTTCTTCTCCTGGCCCATTCTGAGAAGAAATGTCATGGATGAGTGGCCCACTCTTCCCATTGTACAAATTTTTAAATTGCTGTCTTCCTCTAGTCAGTTAATATACTTCATTGTTAAAATTATCTTTTTTATTCTGCATTTTATTAAAACTGGATTTTTTTTTTTATTTATGATCTGTGTTCTCTAATTTCATGGAGGTGTTAAACTTCTTTGCTTGTTCTCTTCTAAATGTTCTCTTGCTTTTTGTTCTGTTCACCTTTTCATCCTTAAGTTGGTAGACTTATAATTTATTACATACTGCTGACTTGATTGTGGAGAGTTGGGGTGGTACAGAGTATAGTTCATTTCTTTATATACATGCTTTTCCTCTTCTTCAAATACAAGCCTGATATTTCTTTCTGGGCATACTCTAATATTTATCCCTAATTACATGAAGCCTTGCTTAATTAAACCAAGAATAATTGAGATTTGATTTTATATTTTTTATAAAGGAACTTATGTACCGAGGGCTCACTTTGTACCCAGGCATCAAACACTTAATTTTCTCATTAACGCTACATGGTTGATCATAAATCTATTTTACATCTGAAAAAACTGAACTGGCAAGAGTTAATAAAAACCTTCCCAAAGTCACATATAATGGATAATTGGATTAAATTTTACCTTAGTTTTTGCTGTTTCATGATACCTCACCTGTATGTTATCTCAATTTTATAAATATAGGTAAATGAATTACACCTTCACTAATCATTTCCAAGTATTGTGCTTAACTTAAAGTTACAAAAATAGACACTCTGGGATATTGTCTTCCCCATTGTCTGTTATCTAGTTTGTTTTCTGCAGGTTTTTTCCTTTAAAATTGCCACTAATTAAATACTACCTTATAAGGGCCTCCCTGGTGGCCCACAGGTTAAGTCTCTGCTATCACTGCTAAGGCCTGTGTTCCATCCCAGGCCAGGGAGCTAACCCACATATGGCAGAGCAAACCTCTCCTGTCTCATCCACTGCTCCCCTTAGTATTTCATTAAATCTGACTATTCTGCTCCCCACTCTGTCTGTGGTGAATCCTCCCATCCCCTGCATCTCTGGCCTTCACCTCAGTTCTTCTAAGTAAAAAATAAAATAAAATTTAAATACTACCTTTTAAAATCTTCATAGGCAATGCTTGGTAAAGTTCTACCCAATGTAAATTTTGTTTTATCCCATGTAAAAATGATTCTAGAGCAAGCTTTAAAAACGAGTAAAAATTAATGTTTTGTTGAGATCTTGTAAAATAAACATGGAAAAAAAATTCCTCAACTGTCATTCTGAAACTTGCTACTTCATAAGATAAAGTGATTCTTAATGCTGTGAAAACTTTGTGGGATGTGTAGATGAAAATTAATTACCCAGATAATTAGGTAATAACAAGTTTTGATTTTTTGTGGCCTGTTTATGTTTTACTATTAGTATTACTATTGTTACATTTATAGACTTTCCTCAAAAAACCAAAGTACTTCACTAAATCTAAAATAGTCACTGTGCTGGAGAAGTAGCTAGAATGCATTTTTTAAAAATTTTAACAAAGCTATTAATATTTGCCTAATAGATTTTAATATTTTTAAAAGCATTTTTGGCAGTCACAAGAAAGTCATATTTCAACTGTTATTAAAAGAGGACTTTAGGTTAAAAGGTACTCAAAATTAGAGGATTAATAGTTCTGCAACTGTTTTTCAAATAATAGACCAAATGTCCTCTCTTGCCTTGCTAACCCTTCTTACTCATAAATTTGAATTAAACATATTCTTCCAGAGACCTCTCTTCCCAGACTAGTTGATGTTCTGTTGGGTGCTTTTATGTCCTGTATTTCCACTGTCAGGATGATTCATGCATGGTTGTAGTTGTTTTCTTATTGCCTATCTTTTCTCTGGTAGACTGCAAACTCTTTAAGTAAAAAGAAATGACATTGTCTTGGCCACTTTTGTATTTACAGCACTGGGTACATTACAGGTGTTCAGTGAAACTCTGTCGAACCAGAATGAATAAATTTAAGGAAATTTGGGGAAGTATAGCAAACAATTGAGCATACTTGTTAATCTGGTAAACTTTAATTGAAGTTTATCTGATTGAAAGTTTTTATTTTATTATTTTTTTGAAGATTTAGTTTTATTTATTTATGCGTACAAGAGCTGGGGTGTAGGCCAGAGGTGGGAGAAGGGTGAGGATTCACCAGAGACAGAGTAGGGAGCAGAACAGGCATATCTACTGAAATACACTGTTGAAGGGAGCAGCAGGCGAGACAGGAGCGGTCTGCTGTGCCATGTGGGTTAGCTCCCTGGCTGGTTATCAAACTCATGCTGCAGTGGCTGGCCATAGCTTGACAGTGCTGAGACTTAACCCCTCGCACCAGGGAGGCCCCTATTTTATTATCTCTGTGAACAAACTAGATTAAAACCCAGAATGCATGTTCTTCTCTGCTCTTTTAAGTGAATTTACTCTTCTTTCCCTTTCATTTGTTTATAGCTTCTGAAATTGTATTCTCCTGTGAATTTGAAGCTGTTCTTCCTGTCTCTAGTAGCAGCAGTGAAAGATAGGCAAAAGGGAAGCAATGGACTCTCACTAAAAGAAACAGGAGTTAGCATGTTTTCTCACATCCATTTAAAGTTAAACTAGGATCAGTGAGCAATCAAGAGCTAACTTGTTCACATATTATTATAAAGAATGACAGGTGACTGGAAAAAGCTGGGAATAATAAACTAGGAAATATTGTTTCACTTTATAACTCTTCTTCAGTGGCCTTTTCAAAACTTAGCAACTGTGTGCACCAATGGATTGTTTTCCTTGATACCCTAATGACTTTTTAATATATCAAGTTTGATTTCTTGAAATGAAATTCCTCATTTTTTTTGTCTTATGATTTGTTGTTTGCATATAAAAACAGGTGATTTTTGTAAATTGATTTTGTAATCTGTGACTTTACTGATTTATTGTTTGTAATAATTTTGTATTGGAATGTTTAGAGTTTTTTTGTATGTCTTCTGTGAATCGTGCTGGTTTTACTTCTTATTTCCCAATTTGGATTCCTTTTATATCTTTCTCTTGCCTGATTTCTCTAGCTGGAACTTCTTATAGTGAGGCGGTCTGGACCTGCTCTTTGGAGAAACTTTTGATTACTGTTTTAATTTCCTTGCTTGTACTTAATTTGTTCAGGATTTTCTATTTCTTCCTGACTCGATCTTAGAATATTGTTTATTTCTAAGAGTTTATTCATTTTATTGCCATACAGATGTTCATAATAATCTCTTACTATCCTCTCTATTTCTCCACTGGGAATACCCCAACTTTTCTGTACATATTTCCCCGAGGCATGGGTTGTACTTTCCCCTCCCAAGAGCCATGGGCCAGGTGGCTGGCCAAGGGGGATAGCTGCAGTTTGTACTGCAGCCTCATGGGCCCCAACACAGCTCCAGTCATCTCTTTCCACCAACCTTTTGTTGCATGAGGCACACATCTCCTCCTTGTCTCTTCTGATACATTCTGCCTTGTTTATGAATGTCTATGAGGTATTCCAGTTTCACCTAAGCCACAGTGTTCTTCGGGTACAGTATTCCACAGGTTGACCTAGATGATCCTCTGGCACCATCTTGGGTCCACATTAGTCTTGATTGATTGATGAGAACATTTAAGTTCTACATTAAAAAATTTTTTTCTGTTTCATAGATTAAGAGCTGGACTATGTGATCGCTGTGCAGTAACTGAAGAACATATGAGGAAAAAACAGCAAGAATTTGAAAATATCCGGCAGCAAAATCTTAAGCTTATCACAGAACTTAGTGAGTTTCTTTCTTCATTTACTAAATATTTAAAGTATAATGTACTGCTGTTAAAACCTATTAGTGAATTGGTTGTAATCAAAGGAATTGTTTACATATATTTTTCCTTATGTAAAAGTTCAGATGTCTTCTTCCTTTTATATGGATTGTATCTTATGCTTATTTTAGTAAGAAATGTAGGATACAAAATGTTTGTACAAATATTATCCACATCAGCCTTAATGTATCACCATAAGGCAAGAAGCAAACTTGAAATGTCCACATTTGCCTTTTTGGTTTTGTCATTATTCATGTAATTTAACTTTTTCAAAAAATTGAATACAAAGAAGACAATTTAGTGTTCTACAAATGTGTGTAATATTTTTAATTTTCATGATAACCTATTATAAGTGTAGTGTTTTGAGTTTAGTCTTCCTTACCCATTTAAAGTAGGGTTTTCTGCATTCTTAGCCAACTTCTCTTAAACTTTTTCTCTTCTAACACCTCTCTTAACCTTTCTTTTTATAACTATGTACATGCTCTCTTAGTGACCTTGAAATTTTACTGTGCATTCTTAAAATATCAAGTTAATTTCTTATCCCTCTTCTGAATAATCAAGGAATTTAAAACACTTTAACCTTAGTCACCTCCTTTCTACTTACATACTGTTTATGCCCAGTATTTAATTTTTGTTGTTGTTGTTAGCCTTACAAATTAGGAACTTTTTAAAAAATTAGTCTTACTCAGAGAATTTCATTTACCTACAGAATTGTCATTTTCTTTGCTTATTTATTACTGCTTTTTGTATCTCACTTTTCTTTTGAAATTACTATCCTTTCTGAGGTAGATCACTATAAGTTCCTTTGGAGAGCATTTATTGGTTCTAAACTAGTTTTTATCCAAAAATAATATTTCACCTTTATTTTTCTAAGACTATTATACAGAATAGTAATTATTTTTCTTCAGTTACTGTTACGATTTTTTTCTTAGTTTTTGATGTTCTGTAGTTTTAGCACAACTTCCACTACGTATTTAAAAAAAAATTCTGCTTGGTATACATTGCAAAACCTGTGGAATCGCATCATTAATCCTGTATGGAAAACTGTCAACTACTAGCTCTACAAATATCATGTCGTCGCCATTCTCTCTATTTGGGGATTCTGATAAAACTTCATCTTTCTATCCTTTGTCTCTCCTAACTACCTTTTTCTGTTTTTCACCCCTTTGTTTCTCTCTGCTGTACTCTGATAATTTCTTCAGATCTTTCGTTCAGAAGAGAAATTACTTCAGAAATTCTAATATGCTGAGTTATTTTATTTCCATAACCAAGTTTTTCATTTCTAAGAATTTTATTTGGTTCCTTTTTTTTTTTTTAACATCTATTTATTTTATACAAAAACCAGGGTACAGGCCATATGTGCAGGAGGGTGAGAGGATTCACCAGAGACAGAGTGGGGAATAGAATAAGCAGACTGACGAAACACATTGCTGAGGGAAGCAGTGGGCAAGACAGGAGAGGTCTGCGGCGCCATACGGGACCCTTGCCAGCTGGCTGGGATCAAACCGGCATTACAGTGGCTGCGTATAGCTTCACAGTGTGGTGTTCAACTGCCTGTGCCACCAGGGAAGGCCCTATTTGGTGCCTTTTAAAATCTACCTAGACAGGGGCTTTATTTATTTATTTATTTATTTATACAAGCACTGGGTACAGTCAGAAGCGCGGGGGGGGGGGGGGGGGTGAGAGAATTCACCAGAGCCAGAGAGGGGAGCAGAGCAGGCAGAAGGACCGAAGTACACTGCTGAGGGGAGCAGCGGGCGGCAGGAGAGGCCTGCTTGCCATGCGGGACCCTCCTCCGGTGGCCGGGGAGCAGCCAGGGATCGAACTGGCGCTGCAGAGGCTGTGGGCAGCTTTGCAACCCAGCGCTCAACCGCTGTGCCACCGGGGAGGCCCTAGACAGGGTTTTTTAATGAATTTTCTTTTAAATGCAGAGTATCTTTAATTTTTGTAAACAATAGATACAACAGTTGCTTATATTTTGCTAATTTTCTTCACATTTTTCAAACTAAAATTTTAATTCAATTACATACATAAAATCTTTCTCCCCTAAAACCTTTGATAATTTCTACTTAATCATACTACCTATTTCTTACATATAAAAATTCAACTATAATTTGTTAACATTGTATAATAACTTGTCCATACTCATATTCTACAATTATCCCTTTGAAGGTCCTTTATAGAAGTTTTGTTCACATCTGCCAATCAAAGAATACACATTTCATTTGTCATCTCTTAGGTCTGGAATAGTTCCCTTTATTTTTTTTCCCATGACATTGATTTATTGAAGAAGTAAGGTCATTTTCCTAAAATTGTCACCTGCTGAATTTTTCTCATCATTTTCATTATTTTGTTCATTTATTCCCTCTAAAATAGAGATTGTATCTGAAGACTTGATTAGGTCCAAATTAAACATTTTAAATAGCGATAATACTTTGTAGGTAAAACTATGTACTTCATATTACATTATGTCAGGAGACAGTGTCTGGTTATTCCCCCTTTTTTTTTTTAAGATTTATTTTTATTTATTTATGCATACAAGAACTGGAGTGTAGGCCAGAGGTGCGGAGGGTGAGAGGAATCACCAGAGACAGAGTGGGGAACAGAAGAAGCAGATCTACTGAAATACACTGCTGAGGGGAGCAGCAGGCAAGACAGGAGAGGTCTGCTACTCCATGTGGGTCAGCTCCCTGGCCTGGGATCAAACTAATGCCACAGTGGCTGGCTGCGATAACTTGATAGCTCTGAGACTTTAACCCCTGCGCCACCAGGGAGGCCCTGAAGTGCTTTCTTGTCCTCAGTATGAATGGATGGACTAGACTGTCCAGTACATGAGGTGCTCTCTCTTTTTTGTCCATAGGCATTACATAAAATCTTATCACTTAATCAGTTACATTGAACTGGCATAAGGTAAGATGTAGTAATCATGATCTAGTGCTAAATCATTTTTGCACAGTAACACTAATTTGAGTAACAATATCACTTAGAATTTCTAATTTTTACATAATTGTTGAAACTATTGGAAAAGCCTAATATGACACATTAATATGATTAATGATACATTAGTATAATATGTTCCTTCTTTTTCACATTATGTTTAAGTGAATGAAAAGAATACTCTACAGGAAGAAAATAAAAAGCTTTCTGAACAGCTGCAGCAGAAAATTGAGTAAGTATTTTTCCAAAACTGAAGCCGAAAAGTGAATGTTTTCTCCTAACTTTTCTTTCTTCATTTTACAGTTATGCTCACTGCATAGATATATTTAGAGTTTTAGATTCATTTTTCTATTATGTACATGTAAAGAAACAAAACAAAGGGTCAGATGAAACCAAACCCTAGAAATCTGACTATAGAATTGAAGCTAACATAGGGGAAGGAAATGGAAGAGGAACAAAGTAAGAAGGGAGCCCAATGGACTGTGGTAGGGGACTCTGGCTGCCTTGGTAGGGGGTGCAGTGTGGCAACATACACCGTGAAGCCTGTGATCCTGTACCTCTAAATCGTATACAGCATTGTAAACCAGCTTTACCTCCATTTTTTTTTAAAGATTTTAAAATTTTTTTTTTTTATTTATGCATACGAGAACTGGGGTGTAGGCCGGGGCAGCACGGCAAGAGGGAGGGGGTGGCTAGAGGATTCACCAGAGACAGAGTAGGGAGCAGAACAGGCAGATCTACTGAAATACACTGCTGAGGGGAGCAGCAGGCGACACAGGAGAGGTCTGCTCTGCTATGTGGGGTCAGCTCCTGGCCAGGGATTGCACTCATGCTGCAGTGGCTGGTGATGGCTTGATGGTGCTGAGATTTTAACCCCTGCACCACCAAGGAGGCCTCCCCTAACGTCTTTAATGAATAGCCATTGCTTAAACACCTTTAATGGAAGTTACATTTGTTAATTCTAACTTTGTCTTCTGAGACCATCTGGAACAAGTTTACCTCCTCTTCTGTTTGATGAACCTCTGGTACATGAAGACAGCTCTCATGGACCTTCTGAGCTTGTCTATATAGTAAATGTTCTCTGTTCATTAAGTGTTCCTCTTGTGGCATTGCTTAAGTCTCTTCAAAGTACCATTTCTTTTTCATGTTTTAGTTTATCAATATGTTAATTAAGAAATTTATATTCTAGGTATAATCTGACCAATAGAGCAGTTCTGCCCCCTCCATTTTTCTGTACTGTCTAACTTACATGGTCAAAACTGTGTGTATATTCCTGTAGTTCCATATTGAGTTTACTGCTAACTAGAACCTTTGAGTCATTGTCTTCCCAGTCATCTGCTTGTAGACTTCTTGTTTCAACTATAAATTAAGAGCATTGGAGTAATGGCTTCATCAGAGTTTGTTGAAGAAACTTTGTATTATTCAGCCTTTTCCTTTACTTAAAGATAATAGCACTATTGATTAGTTGCATATTATCTGGCATTGGTTACATCTTACAGTATTTCCTTTCATTCTCATCTTTGTGTGATCCACAAATTTAGTGAACAGTTTATCAGTGCCCTGCATCAAAAATACTAACACAATGTTAAACAAAGCCTGCTTGAAGATGGAGCCCTGAAGCATACTTCTTCATTGATGATCATTTTTTTCCTCATATTAATGAGAAAAAAACCTTCTCTATTAATACTAAGTTTATATTTCTTCTTTTTGTTATAATGAGAAAATATTGAGAGATTCATTATCAGATGCTTTCCTGAGAGATGTATAGAATTATAAAGCATTTTTCAGAACAGCTGGTTTCATGGCAGTACTTATTTTTTCATTCGTCTATTCTAATTACTTAGATAATAAGCTTATATGGCTTTCCAAGAGATCATACTTTGTATTTTAGGGATTCCTCTTCTTCCTCCTTTTGAAAATTATGTTGAAGTGAAGTTTATGGTTGTAACTCCTTCTTTAAGTTAACTTATATTTTAACTAGAAGTTCAAGTTTTTTAGAAAAGAGGGATAAAAAAGCTAAATGTTAAAAACCTTTTTACCATCTTTATGAAGGGTGGCCCAGAATCCTTATAGGGAAAAAAACAAAACTCTTCTCATAGGAATCTGAGGGGAGGCTGACAAGTAAAGCAGAAAACCAAAAATATTTACTTTAAAACCATTAAAAGGAGAAGTGAAAGGACCAGTGTGTGTAATTGATTTAACCAAATACTGATGTGAATTTAACCTTCCTCTGAAAATCAGAGACACTGATTTCTTTTAAAAAGAAACTTGTTAACACTTGGAAGTTTTCTTTTTTTCCATTTTCCTTATGAGGAAGGAGGACAAAGTCAGCACATGTTTACCTAGTTTGTCTTCTGTATGTTAGAGCTAGTGGCTTGTTTGGTTTTTTGTTTCTTTGTTTCTTTATTTCTTTCTTTTTGCACTTTTGTGATCCAGGCTACTACTACATTGACTCTGCCAGGAAATCAGTTTCTTCTCGTGACTCATTCATGTTTCAGGTTGAATTTTTATGACTAATAGGCAGGTAGACTGTGACGTGACTAGTTAAAGCAAAGGTCATGTAGATTTCACACTTCATTAATTTATAAGGCTTTCTCATATGACTTTAACATACTGTTTTTCCAGACTAAGACAGTAGACCTAGAGAGAGAGATTAAAATTTAGATACTAGTTCAAAAAATTTTCCTTAGTTTAGAATATAGGATTATAGACCACAGTATTATTGAGATTAGCCAGGAAATTAAGATATAAATCTGCGTTTGGAAAAATTAATCTTTGTCTTCTAACTTTTGTTAAAATCTCTTCTGGTTATAGTTTAAAATATGTTGTTTGTTTAAAAGTAGTATTACAAGTTGATACAACTGATTGTCATATAAAGCCTAAATGCCTGGCAGACTGGTAAGAATTGGTTCTCAGATCAGATCAGTTGTGGTTTGATATGGCAAAGTTATTTGAGCTAAAGTTAGTCAACTCTAATTTACTCAATAACCACATTTCAACCCAAACAAATTTTTAGGTATCATGGTCCTGAATTGCTTCAGGCAAGAATTGCTTCAGGCAAGACCTATACCTAGGTCTTCACAAGTGTATTTTTTTCTAGTGGAATCTGGGAATCTCATATTCATTCAACAGAAGTTATTTGAGCACCTACTTTGTACCTACTCTTGTGATATATGAGTGAGCCAAAGATTTTTATCCTCTTAGAGCTTGCATTCTAATAAGTGATCAATAGATAGATCAATTGTATACTCTATTAAAAGCAGTATATGCTATTGATAAAGTTCATAGGAGTACTAGGATGTGAGGAACAGGTTGCAGGGTTTTTTTAAATTTTTTAAATTTATTTATGCATACAAGAAACTGAGGTGTGGGCCAGAGGTGAGGGCAGTGAGAAGATTTACCAGTGACAGAGTAGGGAGCAGAACAGGCAGATCTACTGAAATGCACTGCTGAGGGGAGCAATGGGTGAGACAGGAGAGGTCTGCTGTGCCATTTGGGTAGCTCCCTGGCCTGGGATAAAACTCATGCAGCAGTGGCTGGTGACAGCTATATAGTGCTGTGATTTTAACCCCTGCACCACCAGGGAGACCCCTAGGTTGTAGTTTTAAATAGCGTGCTCAAGGTAGACCTTGATAAGAAAGTGAAGCTCTAGCACAGAGGTGAAGGAGACGTGTTCTGTAGAGATGAATATTACAAGCAGATGGAACAGCCTGAGAAAAATAGTATAAGGTTGCCCAGTGTGTTTGAGAAACCTCAAAGTAGTGAGTATGACAAGTAGAGTGTACATGGAAAGAAGTCAGAGAAGTCAGCAGAGAGGAACATTCAGATCATGTAGCACCTTGTATGTTCCCAATGGAATGGAGAACTATGACAGGTTTTAATCAGAGAAATGACATAACTTAAGTCAATCAGTCTTACACATTGATGCTAGATTTTCACATTACATGTGCACATTTAATCAACGTCATCCTTCATGTAGTTCTAGCTTGCCTTTCTCCAGCACAAGCACACAGCACTGTATGCCCTCAACCTGGATCCTCTGCTGATTTTCTTTGCCATTTGAAATTGTCTTCATTCAAGTGTCACCAGCTACCCTCTGTACTTTGCTTCTCACAAGAATATTCCCCATGTGATATTCTATAATCATTTGAGTACTTCTCTGCTCCTATATTTAGATTTGTAGCATTAGATGCAAAAATTTATCTTAGTTACCTCCCTCCGTTCTGTTGTAGTTCCTCATATTGTAGATGTTTAAGTAAATACATACATAAATTTGTTGAGTTAATGTTCTTTCAACTGTCATTATTTTCCTCTAGGAATGATCAACAGCTGCAAGCAACTGAGCTTGACTCAGAGGATAATGTTATTCCAGGTTCACCAATAACAGCCTTCTCATTTCCTGGTATTAACCGACTACGAAGAAAGGAAAATCTCCATGTACGATGTATAGAACAAACACATACTACACTGGAGCACACTGTGTGCACAAATGGTAAGGATAGGAGTTTTTGTATTTTAGTTATTTAGTGTAAAAAGAGTTTTCATCAGCTAAAAGATTTTTTGTGTTAGTAAATCTAGTGGAAGAAAGTCAGTCATTTAGGCTACTTATGTTACAACTCTAAGTATAACTTCCTTTAGTGAAGTGATGAAGCAACATTTTCTGCCTATATTATGTATAGACATGCTTTGTTTAACTATGTAAATGCTTAGCGTTTTATAATTGTAGTGAATATTTTTATTGAAAAAATATTCTCATTTTATCTATCTGAATGAAAGAGAAGGAAAGAAGAAAGGAACTTAACATTAGCTTCCATCTGCTACTTGTGCCAGGTATTAGACTGAGTGACTTGAATACATTATTACTATACACTAATTCTCAGGAGGTATGTGAGATAACTATTAGCACCTTTGTTTTACAGTTGAGGAAAGATATGCTCATTAAAAGAGTTAAATAACTCACTCAGGGTCATCTGTCAAGTAAGCAGATGAGTCAAAATTCAAATACAGATTTTCCTGGCTCTGAACTTTTCCACTTTCTGGGTCTTGCCCATTTCTACTTCTACTTTGGAACTGATTTAACTGGCTATTTTTGTTATAATTTGTAACAATTGCTTGTAATCAAGAAATGGTTTTATAATATAAAACCATATATAATAGGTCTACGTGGTGACCTATCTTCATGTGACATATTTCTAATTCTAGCCCAGATTACCATCTCTGCTAAATGCTTTGAAACTCCCTTTATATGTAGCCCTGAAATTTATCATGTGACATAGTGCAGTGATTATTTCTTTTAATACTGATAAAATTAAATAGTAAAGACTAAAATTTTTAACCTAAACTATTTATAAAAAAGAAAGCACATAGACCTGGAGATATTTTTATAATGCAAATAAACTGTTGACAGTAGCCTTTAAAAAATGCCTTTAAAAAATAAATAAATTGTATACTTTGATACCAGAAAACTGGCTTAAAGTTCCCCCATTTTATATAAGGTTGCATCACCATCTAGTGGAAAACAAAAGAACTGTTAAAAATAATATAATTGAACTAAAATGTAAGATCATGATTTGAGTGTACATTCATTCATCTGTTGGTTTGCTCTCAGAGAGAACATGAATACTTACATATTAGCGTCTACATAATTTAGATCATTTTTAAATCCATTGTAAAAATATCCATAAAAACAAATCACAGCTATTTTCTTTATTAAGAAAGTCTTCTTATACTGTATCTAGTATAAATGCCTCTACTTTATTTCTTCATTGTATGAAAATAACATAACTTAAAATTTTAATCTTATTCTGATCATTTTTACTTGAATCTGAAATTTTAATTTTAAAATTTAACTTTGAGTCATGCAAATTATTTTAAAACCAATTTAATGATTAGTCTTTTCTCTTTCTATCCACCCTTGTGTATTTATGACTTATCTTGACTTTTAATATTACTTTCACTTGGCTTTTAATATTATTTTAAAGATTTATTTATTTTTATATAAGAACCGGGGTACAGGCCAGATGTGCAGGAGGGTGAGAGGATTCACCAGAGACACAGTGGGGAACAGAACAGGCAGACTGACTGAAATACACTGCTGAGGGGAGCAGCGGGCGAGGCCAGAGAGGTCTGCTTCGCCATGTGGGATTCTCCCGAGCCAGCTGGGATCGAACCTGTGCTGCAGAGGCTGCGGACAGCTTCACAGTGCGGCGCTCAACCACCTGCGCCACCAGGGAGGCCCCTTAATATTATTTTAATACTTTCACAGAGTATTTTCTTTGTCCTTGTTTTAGTTTTCTTTCAGTTAAATCCTTAAGCAATGGAATAATTTCTGATAAAGTGTGTTTCAGGATATCTCTCAAGATAATAAAAACCAGAAAAAGTTTGGGAGATATATGATACAGTATTCATTTTAAAGTAACCTACTGATTTGCAACAAATACACAAGGAAAAGAAATACTGAAATGTTATGACACTAGGAGACCTCAGAGACTAAGACACTAGCAGACTCAAAGTAGTTTGTTCTAGTCATTTTTCTGTCCTGATTTCCACTTTGTTTCTTAGTGAAATTAAAGGAACAAACCTTAATAGAATATGAAAATTATATCAATAAAATGACAGTCCTAGTGTACTTACAGATAAATTTGTATTGGCTTATCAAAGTAATATTTAGATAATCTTTTTCATCTTGATTGTTTATTTATACATAGCCTTTCCCATTTTCCTTCAGAATTGAAAAAAGTTTCAAAGTCTTCAACTCAACAACATAACCCAAAAGAAAATGAAATTTTGGTGGCTGACACTTGTGATCAAAGTCAATCTCCAGTGGCTAGTAAGCAAGATAATATTACTCCTTTATAAATTTAAAATTTGTTATTATTGGTGGCCAAAGGTCTGAAATAGACAGTATTCAAAAATATTTTTCTTATGTTTTGTGTGTATTACTAGTTATTTAGCAGTCTTTTTCATTTTAGAAAGTAATGGTATCCTATTATAAATTAATATCCTTTACCGTATTAATAATGATTCCTAATAATTTTGAGTAAACATAACTATATCGTTGCTTACTCATTCATTGAACAAATATTTGAGTGAATACTGTGTATTAGGTAGTGAACAAACCAAAACCTTTAACTTCATGGGGTAGAGGAGTCAGTCGGCACAAAGGCTTTAAGCAGAGGGTGCTCTTTGGTTCATTGGAAGAACGCCAAGCAGATGTGTGTGACTGGGGTAGAGAGAGTGAAAAGGAGATTGGCTTGGGCAACTTTCAGTGTTGGTAAATAATGAGATGGAAAAGACTGAGGGCAGCCGTTTTCCAGGATAGGATTGATTAGGATCAAGAGTTTGCTTTTTGAGAATATTCTGCTTGAGATGCTTGATGAACATTCAGGTAAAGATTTTGGAGGAGTAGCTGGATGTGAGTTTGGAAGAGCGACATAGAGTTACATATAGAATTTGTTAGGTGGTATCCGAAGCCTTGAGAGTAAATAAGATTATCCAGCCAGTGAGTATAGATGGGAAGAGAAGTTCAGGTACTTAGTACTGGACCCCTCTTTTATTGTTATTATTTAACACTTCCCCCCAAGACTTTTTAATTATTATTTAAACTCTCCCTCCCCCCCAGGCTTTTTAAACATGATTTCCCTTAATCACTTCTCCCATGGAATTTTTATAACACAGTCATACTGTTCTATTTTGAATATGTATTATCTGGATAATAAGATTTTTTTGCCCCCCTGAGAGCCACTTTTCAATCCTTGGAGACAATTATTTCAGCTATTCAGATAGTGAGAATGAGGAGGAACAGAATCTGGTACTAGGGAAGGAATTTCCACTGAGATGGAAGAATTAAGATAAAGTGGTATCCCTTAAGCCAAACGTATAAATGAAGGAGTGGCCAACTCTCTATTAGCAAATAGTATCAATAGAGCAGAGAAGATAAAGACAGTCTTAACCATTAGATTTGATCTCATAGAGATCATTGGGTGTTGAACTCGTAATGTGAACTATTAAAGTGGAAGGGTGTTCATTGTATCATGTACAAAAGAAACTAGGACCAGAGAAAGTGGAGAGCACACATATAAACAAGTCCTTCAGGTGTTTTGTAGTGAGGGGGACAAGGAATGGGTTAGTAAGTTAGAGAGGAGTGTGACACAATGAGGGTTTTTTAAAGATTGGCTATTATAGTATGTTCAGCATATTTCTTTGCTGGTAGAATCATTAAAAGAGAAATGAATAATTTTGGGGAAAAGAGCAAGAATTGCTACATCCTTGAAAAGGTGAGAGGAGATGGATTTCAGAGCCCCATTGGAGAGGTTGACTTATATGTCCAACTACAGTTATGTTTCACACTTAGATTTTCAGCATTTTCTTTTTCTCAAGGGTTAGCTACATCACCTGATGTAGTTTTTGAAACTCTGGATGCATGAAACTGTGTAAATTACTTAAACATAGCTTATTTCTGCATAAGTATCTATTAGCTTAAAACCTGAAAATTATGCAGTGCTAAAAATTTCTCCCACAAAGTGTGCTTTTATAAAAGTACTATGAAAGTTTTGTATTCATGCTACATCTTAGGTCATAATAAAATTATTGTGAATATATTTTTTTTTTCAGTGGCACTAAGAAAAATTGCATTCGGTTCATTTAGGAAAGGTAGAAAACTTAATTTAAAAGTTCCACAAGTTTAGATATTAGATACTTCCAGCTTACCGCCATTTGTAGTAGATATTTTGGACTTCTTTTGCACTAGTGCCAGCTTGTAATGTGGTTCTTTGAAGCTTTTGCTTTCCTTTTCTAAAGTTTTTATTATACATCTAGTTTCTACAATTATGTAATTGTTTTTTTTTTCTTTCTACTTAGAAACACATGGAACAAGCAGTTATCCTACTAAATCATCTTTTAATTTAGTTACAGCTGTTGCTGAAACACTTGAACTTAATGTTCAAGAAGAATCAGTAAGTAATTCTTCAGTTTGGTGACAATATGAATTCATTAAGTTTGTTTTAGAGAATTGAATGTGAGAAAAATTATTTAGTCCAAAGATCATTGGATAAAAACCTAGAACAAAACTGTTGTGGCTGGAAGATCCCATTTATATTATCCGAGGCAGTTCCAGAAATCTAGTCTTTAAAAGTTTTGGGATATTGATTGCAGGTTGAGTAAAAACATAGAGAGGGAGCATCATGACTTCGAAGATTTGGCCACTCCATTCTCCTTACCCCCAATCCTGTTCTATTTAAGAGAAGACTTTAGGGTGATTTCAGAATGCATTGTATCTTCTTAGCATACTTTAAACTGAGATTCCATTTAGAAAACAGACTGAATTCTTGGAACTACTATAGATGTATTAGTTGTTCTTTGTCCCCTTGCCAGTTCAGTTAGACCTAATTCATAGGGATTGGGTCAAAAATTGACGTCCATTTTCTTGTAATTATTTTAGTACTTCCTTGCATTTACTTTTTTCTTTTTCATTTTCTTTTTTAAAGATTTATTTGTACAAACAAGAATTAGGGTACAGGCCAGAGGTGTAGGGGGTGAGAGAATTCAGCAGAGACAGAGTGGGAAGCAAAAAAGGCAGATGTATTGAAATACAGTGCTGAGGGGAGCAGCGGGCGAGTCAGGAGAGGTCTGCTGCACCATGTGGGTCACCTCCTAGCAGGGGATTGAACTCGTGCTGCAGTGGCTGCGGATTGCTTCATAGTGCTGCGTCTTAACCCCTTGTGCCACCAGGGAGACCTGCATTTACTCTTTTCTTAATCCCCAAAAGATAGAAAACTTAAATTCTTCAATCTTGAGGAAGTTTTATTTTGATACAACTTTAAAAAGTATTCTTTTGCTTTAGGCAATATGTGTATCTGTACTTTGGTTTTTTAAATTACATATGAATATTTTGCCCTTTATAGTTTTAACTCCATCTTCAAGTGATAGTGGGTATTTTCCTAAGCTTTCAATTTTAAATGTGTTTTAATGATTTTTCATTCTCTCCTTCTCATAAACTTGACATGTCAGTAGTTTACACCCTAAATATGTTATGGAAGCTCATCTCCAAAAACTTGCTGCTCAAAGTATGTTTACAGGCCAGTAGCTTCTGTATCGCCTTAAAGTTTGTTTGAGAGAACAGAGTATCAGACCCCACTCCAGACCTGCTGAAAGAGAACTTGCCTTTTAAGAAGATTCTCAGTTGACTTGTATGCATGTTAATGTTTTAAAAGCGCTATTCTGTAAAGGATGCTTTTAAATTTATCTTCTATACTTTGAATAATTATCTCTATTCCTGCCTTTCATCTTAATGTTTTTTGAAATTGGGGCTTTATATACCAGTAATAGAATGTGCTTAGGTAAAATATTAAAATATTGATGCATTTCCCTCTTTAAAATGTGCTTCATTTTTTTTCCACTGTGGTAAAATTCACATGGTAAAATTCACATAGTACCATTTTAAAGTGTACAATTCAGTGGCATTTAATACATTCATTAATTTTATGCAACATTCCCCTCTAATGCCAAAGCAGTTTTATCACTTCAAAAGAAAACCTAGTACCTGTTAAACATCCAGTCCCCATTCCCTACTTCCTGTAGCCCCTGGCAACCACCAATCTGCTTTCTGTCCTTATATCATTATGTGATTTTTGAGTCTGGCTTTTTTTGCTTAGTCTGTTTGAGGTTGAACCACATTATAACATACGTCAATATTTCATTCCTTTTTAAGAAAGACTGATATTCCATTATATGTATATGTATTCCATATGTATACTTTCTATTTTATTTTTAAAGGAATCTCAGGGACCCATGAGCCCTCTTGGAGATGAACTCTGCCACTGTTTAGGAGATGAAAAGAAAAAACCTTTTGAGGAATCTATAAGAAATGGTGAAGATACTTTAAGGTAATTTGGGGCACTTTGGTAAAAACTTGTAAAGTGCTTGTGATATCCCATTACAATGAGTTTTATAATTGAGCTGTTTCTCTCAATATAGTTTTTTTATTCTAGTTATATTAAATTTTATTCAAAAAAAAAATTTCCCCCTATTTAAAACTAGTTGAGGGCTTTTCACTAGGAAGATGGCTGTCATTTATAGATATTTTCTGTACTTCTATCAACAGTATTGAAGAATTCCCAATCTTTACTCTGCCCCTTTAAAAATCAAGTTCATCCTTTCAGGGTTTGTGTTTCTAAAACCTGGATATAAGTTTGCATCTGAAAGCTTAGATGAGGTTCCAACCTTGTGTTTCATCTCGATTTTACTAATTTCAGTTATCCACTAACTAAAAATTCCTATATTTATACAACATTTTTATTTTTAAAAGAGCTTTTGATTTTAGATACATATATGACATTTAATTTGTCATCACAGTAACTTATTAAAGTATGTTTTATTGACCACATTTAATTTTACAGTTGACAAAAATGCAACCCCAGGGAGATTAACTGTACAATTTGAGGCCATGTAGATAATAGTACTGGAACTAGAGCTTGTACTCTCCCATATCTTCAAATTTAAACTGATGTTCTTTCTATTACCACAGCTATGTCCTCTCCTAGAAGCAGGCTGTCTTAATACCTTTTTTTTCTTGAAGTTACTCATGACAAGAATTCATAAAACGAAAGAATTTGGATTCCCAGCGCAATTTATTAAAATAAGATTTTCTCATGTAGTGAAATTATTTAAATTACCTAGGAAAAAGTATTTCTTGACAGAAATAATCATTATATTAAGACAGGTTTTATGTATCATTTTTCTCTGCTGCTTTTTTTAAAAAAAGATTTAATTTATTTATGCATACAAGAACTGGAATATAGGCCAGAGGTGTGTGGGGTCAGAGGATTCACCGGAGACAGAGTGGGGAACAGGACAGGCAGACTGAAATACACTGCTGAGAGGAGCAGCAGACGAGTCAGGAGAGGTCTACTGTGCCATGTGGGTATCTCCCTGGCCAGGGATCGAACTCATGCTGCACTGGCTGCGAATAGCTTCATAGGTTGTGTCTTAACCCCTTGCACCACCATGGAGGCCCTCCTTTGCTTTTTTTTGTCAGCCAACTAAGTGAAGAGAAATCAGCAAGTATACTCTACCTTAAATTTTGGTTAGTCAACTGCCTCTAATATATGGATGAGTTTACTATTGATATGCTATATTAGTGACTGTCTTCTCATTATGCTTATCTTTTAATTTTTACCCTGTTTCTTCAGTAAATAAATACGTTTTATACTCTTTAGATTTTCAGATTGCATTTCAAAGACGACTCCTCCGCAAGAAGAATTGACTACTCGGGTGTCATCTCCTGTATTTGGAGCTACCCCTAGTGTGAAAAGTGGGTTAGGTTTAAATACAAGTTTGTCCCCTTCTCTTTTAGAGACTGGGAGAAAAAACAACCTGAAAATAGCACCTTTCATTAATAATTCTAATTCTAGATCAGAGAAGGCTAGGTCAAAATCTGAAGATAGTGTATTTTATACACATCATACTTTTGGGTCTGAAGTGAACAAGATGATTAGTCAGACGTCTTCTAATAAGCAGATGCTTATAAGTAAAAATATGAGTGAATCCATAAGTGAGCAGAATAGTATTGATCACATGAAAGATGTTATGATGGATAAAGATAAACATTCGGTGCCCCTGAAATCATTGGTAGGCAGACCATCCAAAAGGAAGAAAACTGAGGAAGAAAGTGAAGATGAAGCTAGCTGTCCCCAGGCCTCTTTTGATAAAGAAAATGCTTTTCCTTTTCCTATGGATAGTCATTTTTCCATGAATGGAGACTATGTGATGGATAAACCCCTGGATCTGTCTGATCGGTTTTCAACTGTTCAACGTCAAGAGAAAAGTCAAGGAATTGAAACTTCTAAAATCAGGTTTAGGCAAATGAATCTCTATGAGACTTTGAAACCCATTCCAAAGGGCTCTTCCTCAAGCCGCAAGGCCTTTAGCGGGAGCTATATGTCAACCAGAGACTCCTCAGAGGAGCCAAGTTTGCAGGAATGCATCCTCCAGTCCTTGAGTAAATCCTTGTTAGATAACAAAGCACCATTGCAAATAAAGGAAGAAAATCCTGTCTTCAAGATTCCTCTTCGTCCCCGGGAAAGTTTGGAGACAGAGAATCTTTTTGATGATATAAAGGTTTGTATTAAATGTTCAAAGATTATAATTAAAATGGTTGTTTATGATTTTATCTAGAAGCTAATGTTGTTTTCTATTTCAGGGTACTGGTTCTCTTGATTCAATAAAAATAAAAAGCAAATCGGCCCATGGAGCATGTGAACTTACATCAGTTCTTCAGTTAAATCCATGTAGAATTGCTAAAACAAAGTCTCTACAAAATAACCAAGGTGTGTATACTCTAGTGTTTCAACTCTTAATGACTCAGTTAAGTCTTGTAATGTATTTTGTGCATCTTTTGGCTAGATTCAATAACAGGATGATTCTCACTGGTTTTATCTTACATGTATTACATGTTCCTGGCTTCTTGAAAAAACAAATTGAGGTCTTTAATATCATTTTTATAGTTATTTTATGAGTTTACCTATTTTATGTAATTGTTTTTTATTTTCTTCATAAAAGCTCTGAATTTTTAAACTATAATTTTAAAATATAAAAAGTAGAACTTTTGTTATCAAACCTTTTCCTCATGCTTAATTTTCCTGTCCTTTTTCTTTGCATTTACATTGTATCTGTAATCATATGCATATATACATTTAAATGGGTTTTTTAACTTTTTGTTTGAAAACATTGTTTGTTCTGGTATTTTGCTGTGTTTATAAGGAGTCCTTTTCTTCTTTTTTTTTTAGCCACCAACTATTCCTGTACTTTATACGTGGTATTTTTTTACTTTATTCTTCATCTTCGTTTCTTTTATCCTTCATTCTGGACTTAATTTTCCTTTTTTCCTAAAGCATATTCTTTTTAGTTCTTCCAGCAAGAGTTGTAGTCCCTTTTGAAAACTTTTTTCACTCTTTTTTTTAAAAGATTTATTTATTTATTTATACAAGCACTGGGTACAGTCAGAAGCGCGCGAGGATGAGAGGATTCACCAGAGACAGTGGGGAACAGAACAGGCGGACTGACTGATATACACTGCTGAGGACAGCAGCAGACGAGTCAGGAGATGTCTGCTGCACCATGTGGATATCTCCCTGGCCGGGGATCGAACTCATGCTGCAGTGGCTGCAGGTAGCTTCATGGGTTGCGTCTCAACCCCTTGTGCCACCAAGGAGGCCCCCTTATTCCTGATTTAAAAAAATCTTTTTTATTTCTATCATGGTTGCTCTAGGGATGATACTGCTTCCTACCCTTTCACAGTCTTCTTAGAATTAATATTGTATCACTTTATGTTCTGTAACTATATGTGGTTACACATATATTGAACATCCCTCCAGAAAATGTCATCATTTTAACTCTTTAAGAAGACATTTGAAACTTCAAAATCACCCATTAAAGTGTACAGATCAGGGCCTCCCTGGTGGCTCAAGGGGTTAAGCACTGCACTATGAAGCTATCTGCAGCCTCTGCAGCATGAGTTTGATACCCGGCCGGCCAGAGAGCAACCCATATGGCGAAGCAGACCTCTGCTGCCTTGCCCGCTGCTCCCTTCAGCAGTGTATTTCATTCAGTCTGCCTGTTCTGTTCCCCACTCTGTCTCTGGTGAATCCTCTCACCCCCCGCATCTCTGGCCTGTACCCCAGCTCTTGTATGCATAAATAAATAAATCTTTAAAAAATAAAAAAAATAAGGGCCTTCCCTGGTGGCACAGGCGGTTGAGCACAGCGCTGTGAAGCTGTCCACAGCCTATGCAGCATGAGTTTGATCCCGGCTGGCCTGCAAGAATCCCACATGGCACAACAGACCTCTCCTGTCACTCCTGATGCTCCCCTCAGCAGTGTATTTCAGTCTGCCTGTTCTGTTTCCTGTTCTGTCTTTGGTGAATCCTCTCACCCTCCCGCGCATCTGGCCTGTACCCCTGTTCTTGTATGCATGAATAAATAAATCTTTAAAAAATAAATAAAAATTAAATAAATAAAAATTAAATAAATAAAAATAAATAAAAATTTAAAAAAAGTGTACAAGTCAGTGGTTTTGGTATGCTCACAGAGTCGTGCAACCCTTACTATAGTCTCAAATTTGGCTCATCACCCCAAAAAGAACAGTACCCATTAGCATCCATTCTTCTTTCCCCTCTTCATTTCCCAAGTCCTAGGCAAATACTTAATCTCCCTTCTGTCTATAGATTTCCCTGTTCTGGAGTTTTCTTATCAATGGTATCTGCTATGATCTTTTGTCACTTTGTCCACTATTATAAGTAAGGCTGCTATGAACATTCATATACAAGTTTTTTTGTAGATGCTTGCTTTCATTTTTCATCAGTTATGCATAGGAATAGAATCACTGGGCCATAAGCTATTCCTTTAACCTTTTGAGAAACTTTTCCAAAGTGGCTGCATCATTTCACATTCCCACCAACAGCCCGCAGGGTCCTGATTTCTCCACATCCTCACCAATACTTATTATCTGTCCTATTTGTTCTTGCCATCCTATTAGATGTGGAATATATTTATTGAAGTGTAATTTATTTACATTATATTTTTATACAGGTGTACAACAAAATGATTTAACATTTGTGTACAATGTGAAATGACTACAGGTATTTCTCATCTATTCTTAGCAGTTTTTCAAATTTGTGATACAATGTTACTAGCAATGGAGCGCATGTTGTCACTGTATCACTTACTTATTTTGTGACTGAAGATACATATTTCACCCATTTTGCCCACTCCCAACTCCTCCCCTGGTTACCCTGAGGTAACCACCAATGTGTTCTCTGTATCAGTGAGTCTTTGTTTGTCTGTATGTATTTTTTTTAGAACCCACATAAAACTAGAATCATGTAGTGTCTTTTTCTGCCTCACTTATTTGACTTAACATATTACCCTCAAGCTTCACCCATGTTGTTGCACATGACAAAATTTCGTTCTTTTTATGGCTGTGTAGTATTTTTCCGTATACAGTCATGTGTTACTTAACAGTGAATTTTGGTCCGTGACAGTAGTTTTAATAAACTATGCCATACAGTCTAGGTGTATATTTAACTATATCGTCTTGGTTTGTGTAATTATACCCCATGATGTTTGCACAACAGAATCACCTACGTAAAGACACATTTCCCAGAATACTTCACTATCATGAAGTCACATGAAAATATGTTTTTATATTTTATAGAAATATATCACCTCTTCATTCATCCATTGGTGGACATTTAGGTTGTTTCTATAAATAGTGCTGAAGTGAAAATGGAGGTGCATTTATTTTAGTATTTTTGTTTTCATCAGATAAATACCCATAGGTGGAATTGCTAGATCATATGGTAGTTCTGATTTTAATTTTTTGAGGAACTTCCATACTGTTTTCCATTGTGGGTATATAAATTAACAATTCCACTAACAGTGCTCCAGGGTTCCCTTTACATACTCACCAACACTTGTTATCTCTTGCTTTTTTATGGTAGCCTGTCTGACAGCTATGATGTGATACTTCATTGTGGTTTTGAGGGCTAATGATGTTGAGCATCTTTTCATATGTTTTAGCCATTTGTATATCTTCTTTGGAACACTGTCTGTTCAGATCCTTTGCTCATTTTTATTTGGGGTGTTTGTCTTATGGAGTTGTGGCAGTTCTTTACATATCCTAGGTACAAGTCCTTTACCAGACATGATTTGCAAAACTTTTCTTACATTTCTGGGTTTCATAATATTTTAAAATTATGAGAATTTCTGAAATCCATTATATTGTGTTTTTTTTTTTCCCCTTCTTACTCAAGATGTACCCTTCGAAAATATCCAATGGAGTATAGATCCAGGAGCAGACTTCTCTCAGTATAAAATGGATGTCACTGTAATAGATACAAAGGTAAGTTAGAAAGTAAAACCAAAGCCCATGTGGTCTCTAATGAGCTGTTAGTCACCCTTCTCTCATGACTCACTCTGACCTGAAATGATCACTTACCTCCTAAAATCTACATTTATTCAGGAAACGAAGAAATAAGATTGCTTGTTCTTCTAACTTTATAGTATTTTTTGAAATGGTATTAATACTTTCTGACTTTAAAGTCATTTAGTGGAGAAGATTCTAGTTTTAAAATATTTTTATTTTATATTTTTTATCAAAATAATCCAGTATATGCCTTGATTATCCTAAAATAATGTACAATTAAGGAAAAAATTTCCCAGTGATTTTTCCCAATGATTTTTTTGGTATACTTTTCAAATTTTTAGTAGAAGTAGCTATTTTTTGTTTGTCTACAGATTCTATGTAGTTTGATAATTTCTCTTTCACTTGGTGCATATTAATAAAGGGTTTAACAGTTGCTAGAATAATATGTACCCATCAAAAAAAAAATCAAGTTTGATTATGTAATTATTAGTGTACATTGATGCTCATTATTGAGATGTAGATTGGAGAAGAAAGGCAGGGAAAGCTCAGGAGATGTCAGTGGTAAATAGCCCTCCCTTTCTGCAGCTCTCCTTCTCCTCCTGGGCTTGAGAGAGGATGCATATATATTAAAACTTAAATGTTCTACAGGCAATAAAACCTTAATCTATATTCTTAAAGAGTAAAAGTAAATATAATTTAATGCCACTAAAATGTACACTTAAAATTTTAATGATTAAAGTGATCAAATTTATATTGTGTGTATTTTTTTAAAAATCTAAGCAAATATAAGTTCATAAAGGGATAACTGTTACAATTTAAAATGTTTTAATATCTATTCAGGATGGAAGTCAGTCAAGATTAGCAGGAGGAGAGACAGTGGACATGGACTGTACATTGGTTAGTGAAACTGTACTTTTAAAAATGAAGAAGCAAGAGCATAAGGGAGAAAAAAGTCCAAGTAAGCTTTGTTTTGCTTTGTTTTTTTAATTAAAACGTACAGGGAAAGTTCTAGTTGTACTATTGCACTGAGTATAAATGACCCCCTCACCACAGACCAGTTTATTTCCTATTCTGATGATAATAGATTTGTCATCGAAAACTCACTTTCAGTATTTCAGAAAAATACCTTCAGCCGAACTAATATTTTTCAGAAAGAATTCAAATTGTTTCTATGGTCAGCAGACTATAGTTGCTTACATTTAGTAAACAGTTTTTTGGAACACAGCCTCAAGCTATTTGCTTATGTATTACTTACGTGTGGCTGCTAGAGTGATACACAGTAGAGTTGAGTAATTATTGCAAAGACCTTATTATAACCTCAGGGGCCTAAAATATTTACTAGCTGACCCTTTTAGAAAAAATTTGCTTATCCCTGGCTTAGGTAATTTTTTATAAAGAAGTGTAAAGAGCAATCTCAAGAGCCCTATTTTAGAAATAGGATTTTCCAAAGCAACTGATGAGGAAAAAAGATGGGTTGAGGAGTTGGAAAGTGCAGTGAGAAATATTAGTATAGATTTACAAATGAACAGTAAATTAAGAATGATAGTGAATATGCTGAGTTACTCTGCCTTTTTCTGTTTCTGCTGAAAAAGGAATCTAGCTCCATCAACAGGCCTTTCTAGTGGGAAACTGTTAATTCTCTGTCTAAAGTCTTGATTTTCCAAAAGATGTGGAAATAATGGAAAGGTTTTTGTTGGCACCATTTTAACAACATATATAGAGGCATATGGCATGAACTGAACTAGACTGGAAATAATTTTCATTTATCACCCTTATACATTGCAGGATTAGGACCTGCTACGTGGGTGTGTAGTGTTTAAAGTAGAGGCATCTCCTAGTGATAATGTTAGAAACTGTGAGGACATTCAGAGTATAGCTGCATTCCCTGTCTTTCGCTGAGTATCCTGTAGTCTGCTTGCTCAGGGACCAGTAATAAAGCCACCAATCTTGTTCTCATTTCTTTTGAAACATTTTCTCTCTCGTTGCCCTGCATTCAGTGAGAGAAAATTTTAGTAGTCTTTGCTTTAATTCTTCTTCTCTAGCAGTGAGTAACTATCCATATGCCTGTGTTGAGAGGACAGTTTCTATTAAAATAAAAATCCTTGGGGCCTCCCCGGTGGCGCAGCGGTTGAGCGCTGGGTTGCGAAGCTGCCTGTAGCCTCTGCAGCCGGTTCGATCCCCGGCTGCTCCCCGGCCACCAGAGGAGGGTCCCACATGGTGCGCAGACCTCTCCTGCCGCCCGCTGCTCCCCTCAGCAGTGTACTTCGGTCCTTCTGCCTGCTCTGCTCCCCGCTCTGGCTCTGGTGAATTCTCTCACCCTCCCACGCTTCTGACTGTACCCAGTGCATGTATCAAACAAAACAAAACAATAAATAAATAAATAAATAAATAAATAAGACATGCCTCTAGAAAATTAAAAAAAAAAAAAAAAAAAATCCTTAGTGATGTTTTATTCTCTTTTGTAGTGAAGGACATTTAAATAATTTTCTTTTTAAGAGATACTTTGCTTTTGAGATTATTTTGTTTCTGGAAATTAAAGTAGTGTGACTGTTTTGCCTTCAGGTTTATCTAGTGGACTCAAAAATGATAATTTTCCAAATATGTATCATATAATGTAGAAGTGAGATTAGAACTGGAAGTAATGAGTGGAGATAATTTTGGCAAAATATGGTGTTATCAGTACTAGTGCTACATAATAATAAATCACTCCTGATAATTTAAAGGGTTGAACAACAACAATCATTTTCTTATCTTATGGTTTGTATGGCTCAAGAATTCAGGAAGGGCTTGGCTGGGTGATTTTTGCCTCAGGTTGTCTTACAGGTAGAGGCTCAAGGTGCTGGGCCTGGGCCAGCAAAGGGCTAGACTGCTGGGGGAGGCTTGCCACCTCCCTCTTCATTCAGTTCCAGGGCTTTTATCCAGCCAGGTAGGATAATGGGTTCTTCCTCAGCACATGGAGACTAGTTTCCCAGAGTTAACATCCAAAAGAGTAAGACAGAAGTTGCACAGCATTTTTGTGATCTGGTCTCACAATTACATAGTGTCTGCCCAGGTCAAAGCAAGAGAACATAAAAGATCTGCCCAGGTCAAAGCAAGAGAACATAATCCTTACCCGCTGACTGCCACTGAGGTGCCACTAGCCCAGCATTTATATGTTATTCACAAATCTGACCCTCAAAGTGAAAACTACAAACAAATGTTTAATCATTCAATAAATATGAGCCACAGTTCTGAACCAGGAAGTATTTGAGAACTGGAGATAATGAATATATCATGAAAGTACCAGTCTCGTTAGAGCTTGCATTATTCTAACAGAGTAGAAGTAAGGGAATGTGTGGTATAACGGATGATGGTAAATAAAGTGTTGAAGAAGAACGAAGCAGGGTGAAAGTGCCAGAGCACCCCAAATTGGGGGAGGTGGTAATTATTTTATATAATCTCAATAGACTTCTGTCATTTGTTAGTCAACTGGATCTACTTCTGTTTTTTAATAAACTCTGGTGTTTTTAAAATGTGGTTAAATGATGGAAAATGTTGTTAGTACTGTGAAAATGAATTTAGTACTTTGCCTATCAAATATGGAATTGAATTTATTATTTCCATCAACACTAAATTACCAGATATTAATGATGGCACAAGGAAATGCTTTTTTTTGGTTCTACATTAGAAAAGTCAGCACCTTTTTTTGCACACTTAAACTTAGTATTTTTTATCATTCATTATGATATATTTTCCTCACATTGTCTTTGCTAGGAATCGTTTATGTGTATCAAATATACATAAACTGATAAGGGAGAAAAAGACTTTTGAAGTTTGTAATGACAGTAACAAAAACTAGTGACATTATCCTCACATGAGTAAAGGACATTTAAAGCCATAACGTAATGTCTTTGTACAGTAACTCCCCAGAGTTGAGAATTTATTCTTGCCTGATGTACGTCTGGCTGATGTGGCAGTTACTGTAAGTTTTATGTTCTCCATAGAGAGTGGAAAACTTGCTAGTTGCCCTAAGCCATTGTTCTTTTATATAGACGAAGAAAGAAAATTGAATGATAGCTTGGAAGATATGTTTGATCGGACAACACATGAAGAATATGAATCCTGTTTGCCAGATAGCTTCCCACAAGTAGTAGATGAAGAGGAAGAATTGTCAGCCACTACAAAGAAATCAAATGGTAAAGCTATTTCTTTCTAATTACGGCTTCTTAGTTAACTGAGTTCAATAAATTAAGCCAGCAAGCTAACTAACAGGCTTGCTAAAGTATATTAACAATTAAAGTTTCAAATTTCTTGTATAAGTTTCTTCTGTTTTTCTAGATTATTTCAGACCATAGAAGAGTTACAAAATACAGTTCAGCTTCCCCTTTTTAAATCTTGAATAACCATCATATATATATATAAATTTTGATTCAATACTATAAATTTCCTAATAACATAAAGTTAAGTTTTTAGAAACTTATTTAAATAAATTTTATAAAAATAAAATTAAGTATACTCCTATCCTGTGACTTAGCATTTCCACTCTTATAGATATATAACCAAGAAAAATGAAAGTACAGCAACCAAGCAGTGTGTTTAAGAATGTTCTTAGTTGGGCCTCTCTGGTGGCATAAGGGGTTAAGCACAGCACTATGAAGCTATCTGCAGCCTCTGCAGCACGAGTTCAATCCCCGGCTGGCCAGTGAGCTACCCACATGGCGCAGCAGACCTCTCCTGCCGCCCGCTGCTCCCCTCAGCAGTGTACTTCGGTCCTTCTGCCTGCTCTGCTCCCCGCTCTGGCTCTGGTGAATTCTCTCACCCCCCCCCCCCCCCCGCGCTTCTGACTGTACCCAGTGCATGTATAAACAAAACAAACAAACAAATAAATAAATAAATAAATAAAACATGCCTCTATTTAAAAAAGAAATCAGTGTAAATCAGTTTACACATCAATGAAGCCGATTCTTTTAAAAAGTCTTCTGTGGCTTCCCTGTGCACTTACAGTAAAATTCAAACTCCTTCCCTTGGCCTCCAAGACTCATCTGATCTGGTATCTGCCCACCTCATCTCCTTCAGCACCTAGCTTCACTGTACTTCACCCACACTTGCCTCTTAGTTCTTAAAACATATCCAACTTTTTCCCATCTCAGGACCTTTTGACTTCTTATTTCTTTCATTCACTAGTTACCATCTTACATGTTCTTCCTCATATAAGCCTTAACTGTTTATTTGCTTAATGTTGATTTCCCTCACTGAAGTGTACTCCAAGGTACAGGAGATTTGATCTCTCCTGTTCATTGTATATCCAAAACGTAGCGCAAAGCACGTAGTCATTTTTATTATTTCAATATACAATTGCAATTGGCTCTTTGAGTCTAGATAACTTGGGATTTAGACCCTCAAACTCTAGTTCTTATAAAAATGGGAAATTTTGAAATGTGTCTTCCCTCCGTCCCCAAAAAGCTCATTATTTCTTAGGTCTGATTCAGTTTGTGTTTTGCTTGTTTTGATAACATACAGCTCATGATGATAAACAAGATAAAGTCAAACAGAAAGCATTTGTGGAGCCTTTTCTTAAAGAAGATGAAAGGTAAGTTGAACTTGATTAATGCCAGCAATGTGATTGGAAGTGCAATAAAACAATTTTTGTCAGAGTATCTCTGAACTGCTACATTGCTGCTTTGGTTAAAATAAAATAACTCACTTACTTTATCGTTATAACAAATATGGAGCTCAAGTGTGAAAATGACCAGTTTTGCAATCAAGGAAATTTTTACCACCACCTTTTTTTTTTCTTTTGGACAGTGGTGGTGATAATTTTCTCTGCTTTATCACATCTAATATTTTATTCATACTCTTTTAATCTGAACTTCGGGAAGTTGTCACATTATAAATGGTAACTTTTATGTAGTACAGATTTTAAGTGGCAGATCTTAGATTGTACTTTAGAAATGTTTCATGATGATCTTTAATCCTTTTAAGAAAAATTTTAAACATCTTGATTTTGAACCTTAATACCGCTTTATATCTTCTGTGCAAAGCTTGCGAATCTATAACTCAGTTGTGTACTATTTATTCTAGGTGTAACTGAAGGCATAGCAATTCATTGAAAAAATATTTTATGCTTTTTTTTTTTTTTTAAAGATTTATTTATTTATACAAGCACTGGGTACAGTCAGAAGCATGGGAGGGTGAGAGAATTCACCAGAGCCAGAGCGGGGAGCGGAGCAGGCAGACGGACCGAAGTACACTGCTGAGGGGAGCAGTGGGCGGCAGGAGAGGTCTGCGCACCATGTGGGACCCTCCTCCGGTGGCCGGTGAGCAGCTGGGGATCGAACCGGCGCTGCAGAGGCTGCGGGCAGCTTAGCAACCCAGCGCTCAACTGCTGCGCCACCGGGAAGGCCCTATTTTATGCTTTTTTCTTTAAGATATGTTGGTGAAGTGAATTACTCTATAAGCAGAGTTATTCCTATTTTATTTCTGTTAAGATTTTTAGAAAACTGACAGGCTAACGTAAATTTTTATTAATGCCTCTAAAACTAGAAGAGCCTCATTTTGTTGCTAAATGATTAATTCTTTTCCTTTATTTACCAGTTTTCCAAAGAAATGGTACCTGGTATATCGAATGTCACTAGAAAGGTTTTCTTGTTTATTTGTTTTAAATATTACTGTGAACTCATGGATTTAAATATCTTTAATGTGTTTCAATCCACTGCAGTTATTATCCTTACTTATACTCAAAATATTCCATCTTTGCCTAGTGCAAATCTCTTTGAATAGATCTGCCCTAATCTTTCATAGCTTCCTTGCTTCTGGTATAAGATGTTCTAGGTTCTCTTGTATACTTCCTGCTGAAGCTTCTTTTAGTGAGAAATGGAAGTTAGGCCATAGCTCTGCCACTAGGGGTGGTTGCTCACTGCTGCAGCTGGTCATTGTTTCTGACCTTTAAAGTAGACAGTGAGGGCCTCCCCGGTGGCGCAGTGGTTGAGCACTGGGTTGCGAAGCTGCCCACGGTCTCTGCGGCGCCTGTTGGATCCCTGGCTGCTCCCCAGCCACCGGAGGAGGATCCCACATGGCACGCAGACCTCTCCTGCCACCCGCTGCTCCCCTCAGCAGTGTACTTCGGTCCTTCTGCCTGCTCTGCTCCCTGCTCTGGCTCTGGTGAATTCTCTCACCCTCCTGCGCTCTGACTGTACCCAGTGCATGTATAAAACAAACAAATAAATAAATAAATAAAACATGCCTCTGTAAAAAAAAAAATAATAATAAAGTAGACAGTGAGAAAGAAGGTTTTGCTTCATCTTGGATTTTTTTTTTTTTTTTGAATTTTTGAAATAATGTCGGTGAACAACACTACATGTATGGTACAGGAGAATAGGAAACAAAACAAAGGAACTAAAAATAACCTTTTTTTTTTTTTAAGGTAAACCACACGTATTGCTACTGATAGCACCAATTTATTGGACTTTTGCATAATCTCCATCACATCTGTATCCTATTTTCCTACCTACCAAAAAGTCCCACTTTTCAGTGATACCAACATCATTGTTCATTTAACTTTATTCCACAATATACACACTGGGCAGTCTCCAAATAATTCAACTATCAATATGATTTGTTAAAATGACTTAAGATTTCTGTATGCATTCCTTTTTCTTTAAAATGTATCATATTAGATCATTTAGGATAAATATTTATATAGGTATAGTTAAAGCCACCAATTCATCTTTGCTTTACTTTGCTTTTAACTTTTTAGGAATTTTTTATTTTTATTTTTAAATCTTTTAAGTCTTTTTAAAAACTATAATATATACATGGTGCCAGAGGTTGCAAAACAAGGTATGTTCAGATAAATCTAACTCCTGTCCTTGCTTGTCCTCTTCACCCTGTTAGCTAGCTCCATATCCTGATGATAATTGTTAATAATTTATGTTTCATTATCCACTGTAAAATGTAAACGCTAATTCATTTTTATATGTATAGATATCAATATAAATATATATAGTCACACTCTCCCCCCTTAGACAAATGATAGAATGCTGTGTACACTTTTCTCTGTTTTATCATTTAACTTTTGTCCTTAAATTCACTTATAATAGTATATAGTAATGTTCCTTGTTACATTTTTTAAATGCACAGTACTTTGTTGTTTGTGCCATAGTTTATTCTCCAGCAATGGGCATGTGGGTTATTTACAGTTACGGGAGCACACTTAGTGCTGCAGTGAATAGTCTTGTTAATTTCCTTTTCAAATTTTCATCCATGCATCTTTGTGATAGAGTCCTAGATGGATTGTGGAGAAATAACTATCATTTCAAGAGTTTCATATTGGAGGTTCACTAACCTGACATGTACAGATATACATGAGTAGTTTTATTTAGATAACTAGAGATACAGGAGGTAAATAAAGTTAAAGAAATGGACAAAGTCTCAGAGTTTGTGTATTTCCTTTTTATGCTGAGATTACTGCCAACCCCTGGGAAAATAGGTTCTTTTGTGTCAGGGATGAGAAGCTTGACTTTTGGGTGATGCTTTGAGATCTTCTACAGTTGCCCATCTACCAGTGTATTTCCTACAGTATTATAATACACTACAGAAACAAAAAGTATATTCACAGGAAAGTATATGACAGATATTATAGTCTACATACACTTATAAATTATTTGAAAAAATAGTTACAGTGATGTTTTTGATGTATCCTTTCTTGGTATCCCTTTTTTAATTCACAAATTGCTCTAGAGTTGAATTCTTGGGGTAAGGCACAGAAAGTAAGCACATATACTTTGAAATACAGCTTTATTTTGAAGGAAAGTGCTTGCCAACAGAAGAGGGGGATGTGGTCAAAATAACTCAGAGGGCCTCCCTGGTGGTGCAAGGGTTAAGATGCAACCTATGAAGCAATCCACAGCCACTGCAGCTCTAGTTTGATTCCTGGCCAGCCAGGGAGCAACCCACATGGCGCAGCAGACCTCTCCTAACTTGCCCACTGCTCCCCTCAGCAGTGTACCTCGGTCAATCTGCCTGTTCTGTTCCCCACTCTGTCTCTGGTGAATCCTCTCAAACCCCGCATCTCTGGCCTGTACCCCAGCTCTTGTATGCATAAATAAATAAATCTTAAAAAAATAAATAACTCAGAGGAGTAGATGTGAAACAAGTTGTTCATTTTGAAAATCACTGTGAGTCAGGCTATTTTGAGTTCACTGGGAGTGTTTCTATTATAAACAAGTATACATACCATCACATAGTGCTTCATTTTCCTTTCCTTTTTTTTTTTTAGATTTATTTATTTATTTATACAAGCACTGGGTACAGTCAGAAGCGCGGGAGAGTGAGAGAATTCACGAAGAGAGCCAGAGCGGGGAACAGAACAGGCAGGCAGACGAAATACACTGCCAAGGGGAACAGTGGGCTGCAGGAGAGGTCTGCACGCCATGTGGGACCCTCGCCGGGGGGCTGGGGATCAAACTGGCGCTGCAGAGGCTGAGGGCAGCTTCGCAGCCCAGCGCTCAACCGCTGTGCCACCGGGGAGGCCCTCATTTTCCTTTCTTACAATTTGCATTTCTCTATTTTAGACTTTCTGAAGTAGCATATTAAGTATATTAATAAAAGGAAAATAATTCTGTCTTCCTGATTGTTTTTTCTACTTAAAGTACTAACACCTCCTGAAGCCATACCCCAGTGGCTTTGGCCAATCCTAGCTTTCTAGTGGTTCCCAGTAGGATCTGCTCCATTTAAGAACAAATACAGGACCTCCCTGGTGGCGCAAGGGGTTAAGGCGCAACCTATGAAGCTGTCAGCAGCCACTGCAGCACAAGTTCGATCCCTGGCCAGGGAGCTACCCTCATGGCACAGCAGACCTCTCCTGACTCACCTGCTGCTCCCCTCAGCAGTGTATTTCAGTCAGTCTGCCTGTTCTGTTCCCCACTCTGTTTCTGGGGAATCATCTGGCCTGTACCGCAATTCTGTGTACATAAATAAATAAATCTTAACAAATACAAATTATAATTTGCTTATTTAAAGAATTCAGTGTAGATGGAACAAAAGGAAGGTTAAGAGAAAATAGCAAATGACAAAACACAGATGAATCTGTTCTTTATAGGTTAGCCCTGAGATAGGGTTCATAGTAACTAAAAAACTGAATTAACAGAAGTATACTCTCTTTCTTGGCTATGTTGTAGACTATCAATTTCCTGACTTTAAAATATTTTACCTCCTAACCTAATTATTATTGTTAAACCAGTCAGAGGCAAAAATAAGCAATAATATAGTACTTTTTCCAATTGGAGAAAAATATCAATTAAAAAAACCTGGGCTATAATAATAAATATTTAATTAATTGTGTTAAATAGTAATAAATATTTAATGAAGAATGAATGAGGAAATACTTGTTTTTCTGACATACCAATAAGAATTTCAAATAAGATGAATGAGTGTTTTCAAATGATTTCACCTGTAGGTTTTTACCTTTGTTAATTTAAATCCTATCTTTAGAGTAACAAATGGGTTAATTTTAAATATAGTTTATTTTCCCCTCAGAGAGACTAGCATACCAAATTTTCCTCATATCGAGGTGGTCCGGAAAAAAGAAGAGAGAAGAAAACTGCCTGGACACACATGTAAGGAATGTGAAATTGTAAGTACTAATATAAACATTGTTCAGTTGGGCTTTTTTAAACTATGCCTTTTTATGTCATAGAATTTGATTTAAAATCATAGATACAAACCATATTTGGATCTAGAAACCTAGCTTGAGCCAGGAATAACAGGATAAATAAAGATTATACTGGCAGTGACCTGAGAGGTAGAAATAAATGAAAACGAAAGCCCTCAATTTCTCTTAGATTTTTATTAAGTACATTTGTAACCTATGTCCTAGTTCTTATTATCAGCTTAAGACATCTTTGCCATTTTTCTTTTCTGTATTTCTTTTCTATAATTTGTTTTTATTTTTCCGCTTACATTACAGTGAAGACTCTTTACATTATTTGAGGAATTTTTTTTGTTTCAAGAGCCAGTTTTACTATAACCTTTATTAAGCATTCTGGGGAGATGATATATACTTATAATTGTTCTTTTCTAAATAACTTATGGTACAGCCATAGGTTTTTTTTTACTCCAAACATTTCCCTTCCTAAACAAAATGTGATAAATAGGCTCTACATCATCCTTAGAATACAATTACATTTTTCTTTTATTCATCAACTCCCTCACACTACTGTAAGTACAGAGCACTAGTACTGATTACCCTATTGTTAAATAGTTCCATGCAGATTCTGTGTTTTTTTGAAATGCGCTTGGGGTTTTCCTTCCCTGCTGTTTAGTAGCTGTCAGATGCCTGCCTCCAGCATTTACTTCCCCTTTTAAATTTCTTTTTTAACAACTGTGGGCTAGAAAATTTGATAACCAAACACATTTAAGTTAGGTATGAATTGACTGCAGTGTGGGTAAGCATATAGTCAGAAACAGTGCTCTCATATACTAACAGTGGGAATATAAATTGAGATCACTATGTTAGGAAAGCAGTTTGATAATAAAATTTGGTTATCTTGACTTTTCATAGTACAAGTTGATTAGGCATGATTTCCTAATTAAGGACAATGTCTCCACGAAGTAAGCCTGCAATTTTACAGCCTTAACTCTTTACAATGTGGAACTAACTCTATCACAAAAAAAGTTCTTTTACTAAAAACACTCTATTTGCTTTTCTTCTCTCTGGAATAATTTCCTGTGCTGTTATCCAATCTCTGAAAACCATTGTTTCATACATTTTATCCCAATTTTCTAATTGTTTAAGGTTAGGAGGATAAATGTGTTCCCTATTATCCCTTTATGACCAGGACTGATGGTGCCAGTCTGATATATTTAAATATTATCTATATGCTCATAATTCCTAAAATTATCCCACTTGCCTATATCACATGTGGAATATATAATCCACATATGGTTACATAATAATATCCCAGATTTCACATGTCTGAAAGTAAACATATGGTTTCTACCTCCAGTCCCCAACATGTCGTATATATCCATGCTTTTAGTTGTTTAAACCAAACCTCCAGTGCTCTTTTTTTTTATATCTCTATAGCTAATCTGCCAGCAAATCCCTTTGATTGTGCCTTCAAAACACATCCCAGCCATTTGTTATTTCTACCATCAACCTCCTGGACCAGGGCATCATTTCACTTGGTGTGGATTATTGGAAAAGCTGCTAAATGCACGTGCGCGCGCACACACACACACACACACATATATTAAAATACTGCCAGTTAGTGTTTTAATTAAAAAATTATTTTTAGAACATTTTTATGTTCACAGTAAGAATGAGCAGAAAGTACAGCCTTCCCATATACCTCCCTCCCCATTCTTCACTTTTCATTCTTGTCACTTCACAGTATATTTTAACACACCAATGAATGGTCTTTTTTTAATGCTCCTTTTAGAATAAAAGTTAAATCATGTCACCTCTATACCCAGAACCCTTAAATGTTTTCTCAGCTTACCAAGAGATAGACTTTGAGTTCTTACCAAAGACAACAAACTCTGCGCCCATTTCTCTCTGACTTCCTCCTCTAGCTCTCTCTCCCACTTGCTTGCTGTATTGCAGCTACACTAGTCTACTTTTGTTTTCTAGTATTTTTGAATTGGTTGGTAGTGTTTCTCTAAAGTTGACTGATAACCATGATTCTCTATGGTTATCCTAGCACATTGCTAAGGTACAAAACCTCAAATGCACAGCAACAAGAATGATGAAAAAGATACCCAAAAATAGTTGTTTCAGAGATACTCTAGAGCCTTAATATATCTGTGTAAAAGAAAAATGTATTAAAATCCTTTACTTTGAACTTAAATTCTAGTCCTAAGTCTTCCAGTTTCTCTAGGCAATATCTTTGGTAAATTATCAATTTGATTATCGGTTTGTCAAGTATAAAATAAAATTGACTAAATAATCTTACCTGTGTTCTCTTAAACTATACATGGCTGCTTAGTTTTCTTTAGATGTAGAATTTGAAGACCTGTATCATTTTTACATACAGGTTTTATCTTTCTTTGCATGAAGTTCAGGTTGTTCATGATCACAGTTGCAAAAACTAATAATACCTTGATTGAAATTAAAAATACAGTTGAAAGGGTTAGTTATGAAACCTGCAATATCAAAAGCTAAACTTAAAAAAAAACTGTAAAGATTACTTTGAAACCCACTAGTTATGTCCAAGTAACGATTGAGAAAAGTGCAAACTATAGTGCAGGCCTCAGCAGTTTTATTGCTGGTCTGACAAAGATGAAGTGTTTGCACCAATACTTAAATCAACTACATTATCGAGCACACTGTAAAGTTAAGCTGTCATCTTTTTCTCATTGCAACATTTCATTGATAACAGAAATAGTATGCTGATTTACATGGTGATATAAACTTTTCTCATCTGTATAGCCAGCATTTCATATACCAGCATTCATTCCTAATAGCGTCAATGAATATTATTCTCTTAGCATGCGGAATACTTTATTAAATAGCTTCTTTAACTTCTGGTTTACAGTCAGTAAGCATAACACTCCACTCCATTTGTAATTTCTAGTGAAAAACTTACCAGTTTTTATTATTAGTATTATGCAGATATCCCTGCAGAAGAAAGAGAAAAAAAGTTGGCTTCCTGTTCAAGACACCGATCTCGCTACATTCCACCCAACACTCCAGAGACTTTCTGGGACGTTGGTTTTCCTTCTACTCAAACTTGTATGGAAAGAGGTAAGAGTACATATTGTAAAATTTGAGGATTTTTTTTTTTTAAGATTTATTTATATATGCACAAGAGCTGGGATACAGGCCAAAGATGTGGGGAGTGAGAGGATTCACCAGAAACAGAGTGGGGAGCAGTACAGTCAGATCTACTGAAATACGCTGCTGAAGGGAGCAGTGGGCAAGACAGGAGAAGTCTGCTACACCATGTGGGTCACCTCCCTGCCGGGGATTGAACTCATGCTGCAGTGGCTGTGGTTAGCTTCATGGTGCTGCATCTTTACCTCTTCTGCCACCAGCGAGGCCCCTGGGGATTATTTTTTTAATGCTTGGGGCCTCCCCTGGTGGTGCAGCGGTTGAGCACTGGGCTGCGAAGCTGCCCTCAGCCTCTGCAGCACTGGTTCGATCCCCGGCCGCTGGCGAGGGTCCCACATGGCGTGACAGACCTCTCCTGCTGCACCCGCTGCTCCCCTCAGCAGTGTATTTCATTAGTCTGCTTGTTCTGTTCCCTGCTCTGGCTCTGGTGAATTCTCTCACCCTCCCGCGCTTCTGACTGTACCCAGTGCTTGTATAAATAAATAAATAAATCTTTTTTTAAAAAAAAATTTTAATGCTGAATATACCCAAGCCCAAGCAGTAAACTTTTCCACTATGGTTCCCTTTACCTTCTGCTATAAGTTAGGTGCTGATTTTGTGACGTAAAGTCAAGTTCCTAAATACAAAAAGGTTGACCTTCAACTCTTCAAATAATTCCACTGGATTCAGAAATTGCCTATAATCACTGTAGTATGATTTTTGTATTCATTATCCGGGTTTATTCAGATTTCAAAAACTAGTTTTACTTTCATCCAGTCATCAAAATGACTTTTAATAAAATAAGTAACTTTACAGAACTTGTCAGTAAAATTGTTAAAAAAGAGAGCATCTTTTCAAAGAAACTACTCTGAATTTTAGATTTGAAAAACCTCACTTTTTCAAAATGCTAGGTATTTATAAACCATATCTAAGTGAAAAGAACCTTTGCTTGCTTGTTTGGAAGACTGTTGGCATACCAAATAGCTGCTTCATCTGTGGTACTTACATTTAATATAATTTGAGAGTATATTCAACTTCAAAGTCCCAGATATTTAATAGTTAGTTCGTTTTTCCAAAAGATGAAAATTCTCTTGACAACTGTTTCTCTGTTTCCACTTTCGCATTAACGAACTAGACTAGACCCCTTTGACATGCTGTCTCTGCCTGGTCACCAGATAGCATTAGATAATCTGGATAGAACCTATGTTTGCACCCCTGCCACGACCAAAAGTGTGGCAGTGCCGCGGACCAGCGCAGCGGTAGATTAGCAAGGCCAACTCAGGGATGAGAAACTGTGCAGGATGGTCAAGGATTCGGCGCATAAATGACAGACAGACACACTTCAGGAGTGGATATCTGACTGTAATGTGCTCAAATCACCATGCATTTGTATACATTCTCAAACAGCATTAGATTACATAAAATTTATTTTTTCAGCAAATGACAATGCTTATGCAAAAGATATATTGCCTTATTCTTCATAAAAAATGAAAGCAGTGTTCCATATCAAGGTATAAAATACAATTCTCTAGTTAATGATTACAAGGTGCTAAGCATATGTGGTTAACTATACATGAAGCACAAACTCCATTATTTTAACTCTGAACCTGTTTTGCTAGTTCTAACTCAAGTGCCTTGATCTCTCTGACAAGTTCTTTCCGTGTCTCTAAATTCCAGTAATCTTTGAATCCAGATAAAACCATTTTTAAGTAATTAACTTTACTTTGTGATGAATATAAATTCCATGGTGACCCTGACCTTTTGGTACTGTCCCAAAGACTTAAGGGCGCCACCTAATTCTCTTTCCTTCAATATTAACTATTCTTTCACCATTTAGGTAGATTCCTATATGTGATGTAGGCTCATCAGTGGGTTCTGGGATTATATATTTAACTACATTCTTTCCAGGGCCACCTCGGAGTGGCTGCCAAAGACGCTTTCCAATCACATAAACAACTCCAAGTGAGGTCTTGACTGTTGGGGGAAGTTTTCTAGCTACATCCTGTAGTTGTTTTTTATGATTACTAACATCTTGTTTACTCTCCGATGGATTCCAAATTTCTCTAATATGAGTCTCATTTATGGCATTAACCAGAGAAATATTATGTTTAAATTTGTCAATTACTTCATACAATAATTCCATGAAACAAGAAACAACTCATGACCAGAAAAGTCAGCAGAAGACAGTTCAGTTACAGTACCGTCACCAGATACATTCCTAGGAGTCAGGAAATATACACAATGGGTTACTTATTTTGCTAGGCAGAAAAAAAAAAGCATATTATGAGCATGGTAATCAGCAGCAATCTTCTCGGGGTCCAGTGTGTTATCCGCAGTAATCTTCTCGGGGTTCGGCGTGTTCCTCCCGTGTGCTCGGTACCTTGGCCGTGCCAAACATCAAGGACTAGATTGTTATCACTTAATTTCTGCCTCGGGAGGGGGCACCGCATGGCAGAGTACAGTCCTCCCCTGCAGACTATGTGATTGGCAATACCTTAGGAGAATCAAATAGTCCTGTCATCTAATGAATAGCTACAACAAAAAGTCTTTTTTTGATAAGCATCTGAAATTCATCATGATAGTAAAGACTTTGTGTTTTTAACCACCTATTCTTACTTGCAACCTTTGGGAGAGAGAATAGAAAAGTGCTTAAGAGCTCTGGTCCTGCTGGAGTTAGATCTTGGGCAAGGTCCCAGCTCCGCCACTTCCTAGTCTTTTATGAACATGGGTGAGTTGCCTACCCTCCCTGGGTCTCCATTATTAATATGTGAAATAGGTATAATAAAGGCTACTTCAAAGGAATGGGAGTATTCTGTGTGATAATGTGTCTAACACATTTGATCAGTGTTTGCAGCTATTATTTTTGTGTAAATGGGGAAATCATTACTGATTAGTGAAATCATGCACCAGCATCACACAGCTGATAATCCAAAGAATCATGTAAACTTAGAAGGCATTAAATAAGATTAAATATTGAATAGGTGCTCAAAAAAATGTATGTTACCAATAAAGTCTTCTGAATTTGTGATTTGTTTTTAAGGTTACATTAAGGAAGATCTGGATCCTTGTCCTCGTCCAAAAAGACGGCAGCCTTACAATGCAATGTTTTCACCGAAAGGCAAGGAGCAGAAGATATAGATGTTGAAGAGAAACAGAATAGGGGATAATTTTTTTTCTTTTTAGTTATTTATAATTAAAGTTGGTATTACATATTGATTTTTTTATCTTCTTTAAACTGATTTATAAATCATTTTTCTATTGAAAATGTTCTTAAATAGCATTTACCCACCACAGAACAACTATTTAAAATGTGGATAATGCTTATTTTGTGTCCTCTTGCTTTCGCACCTTTAAAGCAATAAGGTGCTTTCATTTTGCACTCTAACTTAAGAGTTATTTATTTACTTTATTTGCTAATACCTAATTACAATTTTGAAAATGTGGTTGTGATTTGTTGCCTTTGAGAGCTTTTCTTTTTGCTCCATCTTCCCTTGGTATTTACGTTCAACCATAACCATGTTAATCATTATAAATTTTCATTGTCTTATCCAGTTGCTCTTCTGTGGATCATTCCAATGACTGGCATTTAATTCTTCAGAAAAAAAATGCTAAATTTTGATAGTTGTTTTGACTTTCTGGCTTCTTTCTTTTGTTGAAATGAGGTTCTCTGTAGCGAAAGGCTTTCTTTCCTTTTAAGAGACCCACATATATCAGCATTTCTTCCTCTTACAGACTATAACTCAACATTGTCCTTCAATCTCATATTATTCCAGCTCTTCACATGTTTCTTTTTATCATACTTTTTTGTCTGGTACACTTTTCAAGCTAAATTTATTAAGTTCTTCTCTGCCCATTATGTTTTATGTTCAGTTGTTTTGTTTCTCGGGATTGACTCATCTTATGAACTTGCAATTCGGCAGCAAAATAGATTTCTCTATTTAGCGACTGTCTATTTATCTAGAACCTAGTGTCTGAGTCAGTAAGATGACTGACCACATCTGTGTCACCTTCTTTAGTAGCATTTTGTGTATCTGTCTTTGTATCTTTTCTTTTAATCCACACCTTGGCAGTATTACACAGCAAGAGTACTTGGGACACTGCCTTTGATAAGTATGTATTCTGATTAAACCATTTGAAACCTAAGGTTGTCAAAGGCAGCAGTTTAAATAGGTTAATCATGGGTAACCAAATCCATTATGTTACCTTGAAAAAAAAGGCAAAATGATGACACAGAATAGTCTTTCCTAACACCTTCCTGTAGTGTCTTCCCAAAGTCCAATTGGAAAGGCACCTTATTGGTAGGCTCAATGTATTGGTAACTCAGCTTAAACTACATCTGGCATATGTATTTTAAAAAAATGCATAGAGAACTTTCTTAGGTCTTTTAAAAGAAAGAAATCTTAAAGACTGCACCACCTTAGAAGTAAGCATTTGAAATATATCTCAAATTTTACCATTCAGCTGTTTATTCTCCATAAGCCTAGCAGCCTGAGAGATGTTTCAAAATCTTTCTTTGCTGAACCATTGCCTACTGTCAGAACAGTTTTTTTAGAAACCTAGTATCAGTTACTTTATCCTTGAGTCCTGTAGCATATTAAGCAAAAAAAAAAAAAATCAATGAAATAGCTTTCTGCTGTCACACCAGCAGAGGCCAGAATAGAGCTATTTTTGGAGAAGAATAGCTTCTTCTGGACCAGGGGCTGACTAGGAAAATCATAAAGGAAAATTTCTAGGATAAAGAAGATATGAGTTGGTAGAATAATGAAAGATGTAAAAATGAGCTTTCAGGTAACTTAGCTTTTGTTGGAATAAAACAAATGGCAGAGACAATTAACAAATTTAACATTTTTAACAGACTCACTGTTAGAAAGAGGCCAATAGTAAAGTTTAGGACCTACCATGGAATGTGCCCTGGTGATCAAACCAGACTCTAAATTGCTGAACAAAAGTAATTAACATCTTTGAATTCTGTGCTCAAAGTATCCTTCAAAACACTGAAATACTGCAAATTTATTAAGATAAAAATAGACATTTTTGAAGAAAAGCTAAGGAAGGAAAAATTGCCAGCCAACTTGCACTAGAATACTAACCTAAGTTCTTTAGGATAAAGGAAAATGGTAAAAACAAACAAACAAAAAAAAAAAACCCCACATGGAAATACAGGAAGGAAAGAAGAGCACTAGACATAGTAAATACATACTTAATATAATTTACTGATTGACAAGTAGTTTACCAAGTGGATTTTATAGTGAGATGGCATTTAAACTCAAGAAAAATACAGATTATAAAACTACAAAATGTGCTGCTGAGCATTTGATTAATAGTTTCAAAGTATCAAAGAGTAACAGACTGAAACTAAAATATTCTAATCCAACCTTATTAATACATTAGGGGGATGCAGATTTCATGGTCTTCTGTGGATGAACAAGTAAATTTGACACTTGGAATAATAAATGGCAGCTTCAGTGTTATGCCAACTTTAGCAGTACAGTTATTTCTGTGTTTTGATTGTTTACCATCACCCAGTAACAGAGACTGGCTTATGGGGCATGTTGGTGGGAATCCTGATTATTTAGGGCAGGTGGTAGTAATAGCCTCTTTCTTAAGAGGTAACTCAGGAAGTTTGTATTAGTAAGGTGGGAAATGTTGGGAATGGAGAGTGGTCTACCTGGGGCAGACTGAGCTTTACAGGCACTTCCCAGACATGAAGGGTAAAAGCCTCACAGCCCAAGGACCAGGATCCTTCCTTATGGGCTGATATCTGGCTCTTCTACTGGCCATTGGCTGCACCAGAATAGCACAGATACCAGGGGACCTGCACACCAGCTGGTTTCTGTGCCAGCGGGTTCCTCAGACATACTGTTTCAAAAGACTTTTGCATGTGGTCATGGTCTGGTCAGTCATCCCTGCTTGGGTGGCAAATGTCACAGACAAATACTGCTGCTCTGCCTTTCTTCCTTATCCCAATGCACGTGCATACCTTTACTCTCGTCCTGTGTGGGTTGATGGTAGCTTAACTGTCCAGGAATAATTGCATTTCCTTTCCAAGTTCTCAAACTAGACTTTATTCTGACCCCTAGGTCTATTAATTCACTTGAGAGGATTTGTTGGGTGTCTCCAAGGATCCTCAGACAAACCTGCCAAGAAAATGGATAATAAAGCCAAGTAGTAGTATTCAGCATGGGAGACACCTAAGAGGACAGGCTTGGTGACTTCCTGCTTTAGGTGTAACAAACTTTTTTGCAATTGGATTAGACTTAGTTGGCAAAACTACGAGTTAAGCTTCCTGTTTTCTGATGAGTGTTCTTAAAACAGTTACTTGAGTAACATGGAATTATATAAACTTTTTTTTTATATAAACTTAAATTATATAAGACTTTTCTGTACTTTATACATTACCTTGTAATGAGACACATTCCCTTCTAGTCTCCGACACCCCCTTTTATGGGTCAGGGCAATGACAGGTATCATGTTGGGGCCATCAGTGGTGTGTGGCCCTACTCACAAAGCCAACTTGGCGGAGGCAGAGATAACTCCATCCCCAATTTAAAACAGCTTTATGTATAGACTCATTAAACTCACAAAAGGAGCACCCAAAAAGGGTGCAGCAACAGAGATATTCAGGGTCGAACACAGTGCTTTAAATGTAGAAAGATTTAATGTTTGTTGAGTGAATAAGTGATGGGTATATCTGAGCCAGGAAAACTGGTTCTTGCTATGCTGTGCTAACACTTGAGTGTTTTATGGTGTTCACATCTCACCTTTTAGGCCTTTAGGTTCCTCGTTTGTAAAATGAGAGGATTGGACAGTAAAACCTCTGAGGTCCTATCTAGTTTCATCAGCTCTCTAGCAGGTGATCAATATTTTTCAGCAAGGTAGATAAGAGAGCAGTTATAATTTTTCCCTAGAGCCAGGCAAATCAGGGCTGGAGTTCTGGCTCCATCACTGAAGAATATGACATAGTGTAGTGAGGACCACAGGTTTGGGGGCAGCAAGGAGAAGAGTGCCAGGTAGGAGAATCCAGCAGAGAAGTTACAGCCCACAGAACACATAAAGTTGCTTAAATGAGGAGCTTGGCAAAATGCACAAAGAGGGCTCCATGACACCAATGTTCTTTCTAAAACCCTGGATCCTTCCTATTTTATAAGTTTCAAACTCTGGAGGAGGGATACAGAGCAGGTGAGCCGTTTCGAGCACTATCATTTTTGAAGAGTGAATTTAATTCCACAAATTGTATTCCATAGATGCTGACAACTTATTTACTCAGAATGAAGTCAGCAGAAACTGGAGGTAGCACTAGAAAAGTCTTCCCAGGGCTAGATGAAAAGCCAAGACCAGATTAGTACTTTCAGTACACCCGCAAACAGAGTTTCCAAACGTGCACAACCTTGTTTCATAATTCAGAGCTTGAAAGAAAAGCCAGTTAACCGCTGCAGGTGCAGCACGCAATGCTGATAGCTCAGTTAGAGGGTGTTCATTTCAGGTACTAGGTATCTGCTCAGCAGCACTATCTGTCCCCCAAGCTTATTTTCCTGGGCACCCCATTTATTCCAAACAAGGTTAACCTGACACAAGTGCTGAATTATCAAAGATGTTCCCTGGCATGCACACACCTCTCTCTTCTCCTGCCCAACCCAACCCATAGAAGCCTCCTTAATCAAGAAGACAATAGAATAGAGAGGAAATAGAATGTGGAGAACACTTGTCCCCCCAAAATATTAAAATGTGACCTTGTTAATTAAAGAAATCTCCAAAGGGAACAATGTGGAAAGAGTAGAATGTGATTATCCACAAAGCCAGCTGTGTAAACTGAACCATGAGTCATGGTGCTATTCGACTTTTGACAATGTAAGCATTGCATATTTTTCATTCATTTGAAACTGAATAAACTATAGCCTTCACCTCTTGAGATAAACCACTATGCTGAGAATTTTATCGCCAGTTTAATCATCCAAGTCTTCTGATTATGTCTCAGACGCTTGGAACCAGGGACTCCAGAACTCTCCGATTTGCCAGTGACCCTAACCTGAAATGTTCCCTTTACAAATTATTTCTTTATAGTCTGGCGCCCTACAGTACAGAACTCCAGGAGTCTCATATGTGAACTTGCCTACCCACCACTCTGAACTCTAATGGGCTTTCTCACTTGGGCGGCAGTTCATCCTAAGGTAATCGGTCGCCATTGGGAAAGGAAATCGGTCTTAGTGAAGGACTTTCTGGAAAATGAAATGCTGAAGAAATGAGGAAGGAGTCCATGGTGCAAAAGTACTCCCTGGGAAGCAGAGGAACGTAGCATTGTCCAGGAAAGGCAACAGAGTGGAGCCCAAGGGCACCCCAGTTTTCCTTTGGGTTCCTATAGTTGTACGTACCCGTAGTGCACACAATAACGATGCTGGCAGACTTGCTTTTTCATACCTGTTCTTCATAACTGCGCTGGGCAACAAGGGCCTCTCCTGAGTAGTCTCAGGCAGCGGCAAGTTCAGGTACTTGGGATGCCAGGAAGAAAGGAGGGCACCACAGCTGTTCTTGTTGGCTCCTGACTTTGGTATCTCATCTGTGTGGAAAGTGTTCATTTACGGGGAACTTTGAATTGCTATGCCCCACCTGTCAGTGTTGTAGCACCAAACCCAGTGGGTTTGATGCTAAAAAACAAAATCCAAGTAGCTCTACTTCTCTGGGAATTTGCCTCGGCTGGCCTCTAATCCCGTAGGAGGCTCAGATTCATTCTGAAGTTTCAAAAGGTCGTTTCATAATAATACTATGACACCATTGCCTTTTCCATTGTGTTGATAGCTTCACTGACGGCACAAAACAATGGTGGGTAAATGGTACCTTAATACAAATCAAGGCAATAATCACTGTATACTTCACTGATGTGCTGGCCAGGAAAGAAGCCATTTCCACTTAAGAATGTTCTTGCTGAGGGGCCTCCCTGGTGACGCAAGGGGTTAAGATGCAACCTATGAAAGTATCCACAGCCACTGCAGCATGAGTTCCATCCCCGACTGGCCAGGGAGCAACCCACATGGTGCAGCAGATCTCTCCTGACCCGCCCACTGCTCCCCTCAGTAGCGTTTTTCAGTTTGCCTGTTCTGCTCCCTGCTCTGTCTCTGGTGAATTCTCTCACCACCCGCACCTCTGGCCTGTACCCCGGTTCTTGTATGCCTAAATAAATAAATCTTTAAAAAAAAAAAAGAATGTTCTTGCTGAGGCAGTAAAAAAAGGAAGGAATTTTATTAAATTTCAGTATTTTAAAGTATTCTCTGTCGGGATGGTGTCTTGAGCAAAGTACTTATCTAATTGAGTCTCACTGAACCAGCAGCTGCATGGAGATCCACTTCCAAAGAAGGCCTAGCAGAAATGTGATTATTCAGACTTATTGGGCAGACAGCCTTTCAAAAATGAATGAATTAAACTTATTACTTAAAAGAACACAATCGACAGTACAGGTTGCCAATGATAAAATTTGAGTTTGCAAATGAAAACTAGTATTTAAAAAAATTTTATCTGCTACTAAGAGCTAGACAATCCTCGAAGACGTCTGATGAGATTGATGATGTGTTCATCGTTGTGATTTTTGAATCCTATAGTGAACATCAACATCTAGGAGATCTTCATACGTGGTGAATCCGTATTTTTTAAGTGATCAATGCAAAATACTTACAAATCAAAGATCCAAGTGCATGATAGATCTTTGGGTTTTAATGTAACAGTAAAAAAAGTTTTGCTGATTCATCTCCATTTCTTTGGGCAAAAGATGTCAGGCCCAAGAGTTGCTACCTAGGTGAAGATAGGAAATTGAAGTGCCACTCTTGAACAGTGATAGTCTTAGGGACCGCCTGCCACAATGCAAAGGGTTCCTCTAGAAACTGGACCCAGATACACAGCTTCCAGAGAGGTCACATGACCAAGCAGTGTGGGCAAGAATTAAAGAACAGGGCCTCCCTGGTGGTGCAGGGGTTAGAGACACAGCGCTATCCAACTATTGGCAGCCACTGCAACATGAGTTCAATCCCTGGCCAGGGAGCTAACCTACATGGCACAGCAGACCTCTCTTGTCTCGCCCACTGCTCCCCTCAGCAGTGTATTTCAGTAGATCCGCCTGTTCTGCTCCCCATTCTGTCTGGTGAATCCTCTATCCCAACGTTTCAGTCCTCTGACCCTACTTACCTTGGGGTTCTTAATAGCTTATCCCAACACTCCACAACTTCGGAAGCTTTTCTAAGTCCGACAAAAAGATTTTTAAAGTAAATCTGAAAATATACTCTTCATTTCACATTTTGATTCTGCACATTCTTTGATGTCACATAAAAACATTAGTCATGCTGAGCTTGCCCCTCTAAACAGACTCTACAATTTGCTCAGAGTAAACGAAGATGTGTTTTCTCCTTCAGAAAAAAGAAAACCCATTTTATTTTCAGTTCCTTTTGGAAGATAAGCTAACATTGGAACACACTGATTGGTTATGTTATTTTTAAATGAATTTTTAATAGCAAATAATTTGTTCCATCTGGGGAAAGGCTGATGGCATTTTCAGCAACAGGGCACACATCAGAATGGATTATTTCTAGCATATTTTAAAAAAAGTTTATTTAGATCCACATCACACTGGTCGCTCAGTGTCAGTGGCATTTCCTGATCCTGGAGAGGGGCTAAGCCCTTGGCTGCTTCTCTCATCCCTTGGGCCATTTGCCGCTCACAATATCAAAGACCATTTGCTCACCACACCCCCACCCCTCTGTGATTTAACCAGTGGGGAAAAAAGGGGCGACTGTTGTGGTTCACACTGTGGTAGTAGTTCACACTGAACTTAACCCCAGCTATTGGCAAAGGGATCTGATGGTGTCATGCATGAGCAGTTGAACTTGGCTCCTATGAGAGTGCTTTTCCCATAGCACACAGCTTCATTACAGAAGAGGGAGCAGAAACAGAATTTAGAGCAAGGGATGAGGTAGTTCTGAGGCCCCGTTTTGATCCATCCAGTTCTCATCTGTCCCTGGGGAGCTCCAGAATAAAAGGCAGTCACAAAAGAGAAGGAAAGAAGTGTTATTTAAATATCCATATTCATAGTAACACTATTTGTGTAGCCAAAAGGTGATGGACACCCAAGTGTCCATCAATGATGAATGTCTAAACAAAATGCACATACATATAATAGAATATTATTCAGCCTTGAAAAGGAAGGAAATTCTTATACAGCTTACAATGTGGATGGACCTTGAGGACATTGTGCTAAGTGAAATAAGCTAGGTACAATAGGACAAATATTGTATGATTCCACTTAACTACTTAGAAAAGTCAATCAAGTTCACAGAAAGTAGAACAGTGGTTACCAGTGACCGTGGGGAGGGAAGAAAGGGTAATTACTGTTTAATGGGTACAGAATTTCTGTTTGGAAAACCAAAAAATCTCTGGCAATGTATAGTGGTGATAGTTGCACGACAAAGTGGATGTACTTAGTGCCACCGAAGAGGTAATTAAAATGGTAAATTTTATGTTATGCATATTTTACCACAATTTTTAAAAAACAAATTATTTGTGTTGTTCACTCAGGTCCTTTTCTAAAGGAAGTCTTCTGGGTGTCATTGTTGCTAAGTGAGGCAGTGGTTAGTGGCCAAACTACCCAGTGGCATGTTTGTAAATACTTAACAACTGGCTCTCCAACAAGAATAAAAATAGGGCCTCCCTGGTGGTGCACAGTATAAAGTCTCAGTGCTATCAAGCTATCATAGACCTCTCCTGTCTTGCCCTCTGCTCCTCTCAGCAATGTATTTCTGTAGATCTGTCTGTTTTGCTCCCCACTCTGGTGAACCCTCTTACCCCCCATACCTCTGGCCTACACCGCAGTTCTTGTGTGCATAAGTAAATAAAGGTTAATCTTTTTTAAAAAAAAAAGAATAAAAAATAAATGTAAATATGTGTACATACATTTATTGAAATTTTACTGACATAAAGATGTAAGTCACAATTTATACATAATAAAATATACAGTACTCTTAATTTTAAACATTGATTTTCTTTTTTTTTTTTTTTCAAGATTTATTTATTTATGCATACAAGAACCAGGGTACAGGCCAGAGATGGGGAGGGTGAGAAGATTCACCAGAGACAGAGCAGGGACACAGAACAGGCAGACTGACTGAAATACACTGCTGAGGGGAGCAGTGGGCAAGACAGGAGAGGTCTGCTGTGCCATATGGGTTGCTCCCTGGCCAGCCGGGGATCGAACTTGTGCTGCAGAGGCTGCGGATTGCTTCCTAGTATGGTGCTTAACCCCTTGCGCCACCAGGGAGGCCCCTAAACATTGATTTTCTTAGAAAGATTCCATTGACTTTTGCTATTTGGTTGTATTGACAGCCAACAATGAATGGTTGTAATTGATGCACAAGTATCGTTCTGGCATGAGTATTGGTTATTTTCATTTGTTTTAATGAGTAAGGCAAAAGAAACAATGAAGGCATATCTCAGAACATCATTCATTAGTCAACAATGTTCAGTGATTTTTTTGATGAGTTGTATGATAGTTTTTGAATACAAAATTTTCTCCTCAATTTCTTCTGTTATGCACAATATGAAAGCTACAGACAATACATGTTCAATCTATCTTATTATTTTTTCTGCCATCAAGTCAAATCTGGACAAACAAAAACAATCATACTTTAAGCCTCAAATTGTAGAATTGGATGATTTCCATGGCGTAAGTAATCCTGTGACTGATTTCATCCTAGTACAGTGAGGTCACCTGATGGTGGAGTTAGCAGGCTATGCAGTGGCATCACTGAACACTGTTTCCACACAAAGATGTAGATACATAGATTCATAGATAATTGTTAGTTAAATATACTAAATGGAATATGATAAAATTTTACTGTGTGTTGCGTTTTTTATTTTTTTAATGATTTTAAAAATTTATTTATGCATACAAGAACTGGGTGTAGATCAGAAGTACAGGGGGTGAGAGGATTTGCCAGAGACACAGCGAGGAGTAGAACAGGTAGATCCACTGAAATACACTGCTTAGGGAAGCAGTGGGCTGGACAGGAGAGGTCTGCTGAGCCATGTGGGTAGCTCTATGGCTGGGCATTGAACTCGTGCTACAGTGGCTGCAGATAGCTTGAGAGCACTGTGACTTAACCCCTGTGCCACCAGGAAGGCCCCGTATTGTGTTTTTACTATAACTTATTTAATTATATGTTTATGTAACTTAATTTTTTATATTTTAATTTTTTTAATTTTAACCATGTTAAAATTATGTTATGAACTGATGAAAGCCTGCTCTGGCACACCCTTGGATGTTGAAACCACTGGTTATTCATAGTTAAAGCCAAAATTTTCAAAATTTAAAATTCTCTCTCTCAAAAATCCATTTCTTACAACAGAAAATCTTGGCTCTCAAGACTCTTCTCTTTACTGTGTATGTCAAGACTATTTCAGAGCTCAGCCAAGTCTTGGTCTCTTTGCCAGCTCCTCCCGCCCACCAACAATAGTGCATTAAGAATGCTATTCCTGTGTCCCAGTGGTGGGAGAAGCTTCTCAGGTGCAAAAGAGCCTGAAGAAAAAGAATATCTTAAAATGTTATCTACCACCCCCTTTTAACTCTTTTTGGGTGGTTTGAAATAGCAGCTCTACTGCCAATAGAGGTTACACTAAGAAACCTCTATCAAACTGGTACAAATTTGGCATGAAATTACTAGGGCCTCTCAGAGAGAGAGACAGGGAGACAGGGAGACAGAGAGCGAGCAGGGGGGAGGGGAAGAGAGGAGGGGAGAGACCAACAGAAGAGCAGCAACAGGAGGGAAATCCCTAAAACAGATTTACTAAAAATATGATATGCTTTGTTCACATTTAACAAAAAAGTGTTTCTACCACTTGCGCTTGCTAAGTATAACTGTGAGACTAAATTGGAGGCCTTGAAGAAGGTGAGGCCCAGGCCAGGAGACGGCCTTGGTCCCTCTCCTGGGGGGATGGGAAGGGGCAGGACCAGGTCAAGTCAATGCTCAATTCTTTTTTTTTTTTTTTAAGATTTATGTATTTATAGGCCTCTCTGGTGGCGCAGGCAGTTGAGCGCAGTGCTGTGAAGATGTCCGCAGCTTCAGCAGTGCCAGTTCAATCCTCGCCAGCCTCAAGGCAACCCACATAGCAAGCAGACCTCACCTGTCTCGCCTGCTGCTCCCCTCAGCAGTGTATTTCATCAGTCTGCCTGTTCTGTTCCCCACTCTGTCTCTGGTGAATCCTCTTACCCTCCCACGCATCTGGCTTGTACCCCAGCTCTTGTATAAATAAAGTAAATCTTTAAAAAAAAAAAATAAAGATTTATTTATTTATGCATACAAGATCTGGGGTACAGGCCAGAAGTGCAGGGTGGGGGTGGGGAGTTGAGAGGATTCACCAGAGACAGAGTGGGGAGCAAAACAGGCAGACTGACTGAAAAAAACTGCTGAGGGGAGCAGCTGACAAGTCAAGAGAGGTCTGCTGCACCCTGTGGGTAGCTCCTTGGCTGGGGATCGAACTTGTGCTGCAGAGGCTGCAGATAGCTCCATAGTGCTGTGCTTAAGCCCTTGTACCACCAGGGAAGGCCTCAATGCTCCATTCTTGTTCCCAGTCCTTTCCCTCCTTCCTGCCTCTTCTGAGACTAACCCCACTTCTGACCCCTCCATCTCCTGGAGACCTCAGCAGTGGGAGAGCTGGGGAGCTGTTCTGGGCTTTTGATGCCTGAACCTGAAGTGCCTAGGATCCCAAACCGAAAAAGGCAAGAGAATCTTAAATATCAGGACTAAACTTCTGATCACTTTTTTGTGATCATTTTTGTCTCCTTTTCTTTCCTCTCACTCTGACAGAGTAAACTGAGGTACCTTAAAGTATCTGTCACCCTAAACAATGAGGGATAATCAAAAGTGAGAAATGACAAAGAAGACCCCAGCTAATGAAACCAGTGGTTGCTTTTGGAGCCTGGGGAGAGTGTGATCTCAAGCTAGGACTTCTCTATTGGTTGTGTGGCTTTGCAAAAGTTGTTTAGCATCTCTTAGCTGCAGTTTCTTCATCCGTATGTGAAAATAATACCTATGAGGTCAACCAGTGTAAGGAGTAGTGAAATTTTATGTGAATGAATGATTTGCACACTGGAGTTTTTTGTTTTTTGTTGTTTTTTAAGATTTATTTATTTTTAAGATGTATTTATTTTTATACAAGAACCGAGGTACAGGCCAGATGCACGGGAGGGTGAGAGAGTCACCAGAGACAGAGCGGGGAATAGAATAGGCAGACTGACAAAGTACACTGCTGAGGGAAGCAGTGGGCGCAACAGGAGAGGTCTGCTTCGCCATGTGGGATTCTCGCCAGCCAGCCAGGATCGAACCCATGCTGCAGAGGCTGCGAACAGCTTCACATTGTAGCCCTCAACCGCCTGCACCACCAGGGAGGCCCTGCACACTGGAGTTTTATACAGAGATTTGCTGTTATTCAATCTGATTTCCTCAAAGGTAGATTCATTTTTTTTCTTTGAATGTTAGTGGATTGAACAGTCACTTAGGTGAAATCAGAAATCATACCCGTGGTTTCAACATAGATCACCTGAAATAGGAACTGGTTAATGGGTTTTGGAGGTGGAAGGGCTAAGGGTATGGGTACTACAGAGGCGGTGGTCACTTCTGGAAGAGGCCACTACCTTGGGGCTGCTGGAGGGGGACTGGACATGTTGGGTCTCTGAGGGGGCACCAGGAAGGACAGCCTAGAACTGGAACTTCTGGTTTCCAGAATCAACTGTGGCTGCCAAGGTGAAGAAGACTCATTGCTGTAGTGACCCTAGAGGAAAGAGCAAGCAGTACAGGAAAGGGAGTGCCTCCCCGACAACAGCCCTACAGTCCCTCTAGCACCCCCCTATTGGCAGAACCAGAGAAGTTGGCTGGAAAATACAATTGTGGCCCTCAGAGACCCTGACTCACAGGGCTGACTTTGGGAGGTGGGGGAGGTTGGGGTTTATCCTAAGAGAAAACAGCATAAGAGCCCACTCATTTCTCTGTAATAAACTCAGGGGCCCTTTGCCTCCGGGTGAAGATGCTGAGGGTTGTGCTTTGAATAACTCCTCACCGTCCCCATCTTTCTGTGTTACTGGAGAGTGATTACAGGAAACAGAAGTGGCTTCCCCAGCCTAACACCCTTTAAGCTGAGCCCTGAGAGAATTTCCCTGTGAGGAAGACTGATGAACTCCTTGACTCAGACCTGAAATGATTTGTGTTTGTTTTCCTTTTTAAGTCAGAATCTAAATAAAACTGTTATTTCTTGGGCGTCTCTTCAGCTGATGTTGAGGAGTTATGACCCATCTATCACGTGCTGCAGACAGCTAAATGACAGATTGCCATGTGGCTCAGATGAGAATAAATTGCTCCTACTGCACAAAGGCTAACCATTTGCAGACACCTAGCTCTGATTCCCCCGTGAGGAAGGCAAAAGTAGATGGAGTGGAGAAGGACTGGCTCCTCGTCTTAGCAGGGCTGCCCTGCGTG